TGGCCAGGTACCTCAGTTGGCTAGTGTCGTCCCAATATGACAAGGTTGTGGGTTCAATCCCTGGTCAGGCCACATCCAAGAATCAACAGATGAATGCATAAATAAATGAAACAATATATCGATGTTTTCTCTTTTTTCTTTCTCTCTCTCTCAAAAATCAATAAAAATAAAAATAAATAATAGCACATTGCTTTTAGAGATTGAATTCACATATTTAATATATGTTCAAGCATTTCTCTGCATGTAGTTTCTTCATTTGTTTTCATACTCAGTTTTGATTTTACAGACTCATACTCATACATGTATATGTATACATATGTGATATATAAGCATTTGCTTGTGTGTTGTTTTTAAATTTTATTTTCACGATCACTTTAGATCTTTTTAAGGTATGACGTGGGTTTTCACAGCTCAAATTGCATTTGTGTTTGAAGCTTCGATTGGGTTGTGAGTCCAGGGCTGCCCAGTGACTCAGCTAAGCTCCTGAAGGTCAAGCCTGTGATGAAGCGGGATGCTCGCTGACCTTGGGGTCTGAAGATCTGAGATTGAGGCTTAGCTTTTTTTGCTTACAAGGGATGTGACCTGGTGCAAGACTGAGGTTGCTAGATGTAGCAAATTAAAATACAGATACCCAGGTACATTTGAATTTCAGATAAAACAATAAACAAGTCCCAAATATTACAAGGGAGGTAATTATACTAAGAAAAGAAATTGTTTGATCTGAAATTCACATTTAAACTGGTCATTCTGTATTTTATCTGGCAACCTAGATACCATCCTTGATTTCTGTGAAAGGGGTTTTTGAGTGGTTTCATATTTAGTTCTCACAACTCCCTATTTTTCCCATAGAAAAGACTCACTCAGAGAGGTTATGGGACTTAGTCTATTGTCACCCAGCTAGGAAATTATTGAGCTGGGATTTGAACTTGGGTGTGTCAAGTTTGGCATGCTCTGCAAAAATCAAACTCAAGGCAGATAAGCAGTGATCTGCTTAATGATAACATGGGAGTCCTGAGCTAACCTGGCAAGGACAAAGGGTTTCATCAACTGAGAAGGAATACTGGGAAAAAGAGGGAGAACCAGATCTGAAATCGTGTTTATATGCCTGTCTATATTAATTTCCTACTGCTACCGTAACATATTCACACCATCTTAGTGGCTTAAAACACCACAAGTTTATAACTTACAGTTCGGGAGGCAGGGAGTCTGAAATGGCTAAAATCAAGATGTCAGCAGAGCTGTATTCCCCCGGGGGGCCCTAGGAAAGAATCCATCCCTTGCCTTTTCCAGCTCCTAAAGGCTCTGGCATTCCTTGGCTCGGGGCCATATCACTCTGACCTCTGCTTCCGTCGTCTCGCATTCTTCTCTCTGATCCTCCTGCCTCCCTCTCCTAAGGACCCTTGTGATTACGTGGGGCCCTTCTGGATAATCCAGGATAATCTCTCCATCTCAGAATCCTTAGTCACATCTGCAAAGTCCTTTTTTGCCCTGTTACGGTAACAAACACATAACTCCCAGCGATGAGGACGTGAATATCTTTAGAGAGCCATTATTCTGCCTACCACTCTAAGAGAGAAATTACCTAGTGGCTTGGAGAGTTCGGGGCTTTAACCATAATCCCTCTATCTGTACAGTTTTCAGAGTACTACAGAACTTTTTTTTCTTCTTCTTGCACTGATCCTGGGAAGCCGATGAAGGCGGTGGTACTGAGGCCATTCTGTTAAGGGAAGTAGATGAGACTGGTGGGTGTGTGGGGTGGGGAGTTGTAGGGGACACAGTGCCTGGGTCACATGAATAGATAGAGACTAGGCCCAGGGCTTTTAATTCAGCATCTTCCCACCTCATCCCTGCCACCCTGAGTTCCAGGCCACGTGTTCTCATTGGCAGAATGGGGCAATTCCTCAGGTACCCCCACAGTCTACCGGAAGAAGCCTCTAAGGTGAACTAGCTCCCTCAGCCCTGATTGCGCCCTCAGCAAGCAGCTTTCTCGCGACAGGAACAAGCGGGGGAGGGACGGGGGCCTTCCTTTTAGTGGAGAGCCTGGGCACAGAGCCCCAGAACTTAGCGTCCCTCCCTCTCGGCCGGATCCCAACAGCAGCCCAGGCAGATGGTTCCAGGGCCTGTGCTGGAACTCCTGTAAGAAGAGGGTACTCTGATTCTTGGAAAAGCCTTATAGCCAACCTCCCTGGTAGTTCATAGTTTTGCCCTTGGGTGCTGCACAAAAGGAGCCAGCCTCCATCCCTGCACCCCAGATCCCTGAAGGCAGCTGCCATAAGTCCATCGACACTCCCCGAGGCTTCCCTCCATCCCATCCATTATTGACGGTCTACATGTGCCTGACACTATTTCCAGGAACTGGGATGTAGCCATGAGTCTGACAGGCAAGGCCCCTGCTCTCCCAGACCTTATGCTTCGGGGGGGGGGGGGGGCAGACAGATCATACAGAAATATGGAGTAAGGGTTCTGAGCACAGCAAAACAGGATGAGACAGACGGCAGGGGGTGATGGCGACTCTGTGAGACCAGCACTACCCCTGCTCTAAGAGGAGGCAGATGGCCTAAGAAGGGGCAATACTGAGATGCAAACTCACATTTTGCACCTAAGTCCCCCTTGTTCCTTACCCCTGCTCTATGTGGCCTCCAGAAGGGGATAAGAGCCATCTGAGCCTGGGGGTGGTGCTCAGAGTCTATACATCATCTCTGAGGCTGAAGTCAGGCCACATGGGAACGGTGTCCAGCAGCGGCCTGACTCCAGGGCCATGAAGAACGGAAGACCCCTGCTCCGTGTTAAGGGCCTAGTAAGGAGGGCCTTAACTACTAAGTTAAGGGCCTAGTGGTGCAATGGGCTGTTTAAGAGGGGCAGTGGCCGGACTGAGGGGAATGAACCAGCTGTGAATACTGAGCCCGTTGTGTGCTGGGGGGTGGTCAGATGTAGGGGGTGAGATGCACACGCTAGGGGAGAGGGCCAGGTGTGCCAGTGGAGGTGACAGAGAAGTGCCAGGATGAACCGGAGGAGCGAGCCAGATGAGAAGGGGCTGGGCTCGCTGGGAGGGGCTTGAGAACAGACTATCCCAGCCTTAGGCTTTGGAGGGTGGCTGTCCCTGGAAAGGCCTGTGCAGGAAAACACTTTCTATTTAGGGAGGCTGTCTAGCCTCTGCAAAGAGGAGCCGAGGACACATCCGGCACCTGGCTGGGTGGAAATAAACAGAGACATGAAGAAATAATTGATGCTGTGTCCTCTGTCTACCCTGCCACCTCCTCCTCCCTGGGCTCGAGGAGGTTGCTCATTGTTGCCGAGCTGGGAGGAGACAACTAAAGCTATGGTGGCTAAAGGATGCCGTTCCCCAAACTTGAGCTTGTGTTTTACTCCCCTCCCCACAGGCTTTGTTCCTGCTGTGCCCTCCTGTGGAGTGCCTGCTGCCCGACCTGCCTGTTGAGCTCTTATCTTTAGTGGTCCACCTCGAAAGCTCCTCCTCGAACTAAGAAGGCTCCCCTAATATCCATTCTGCCTTTTCCAAGTTGTGATTAATCACTAGCCCCCGAACACATACATCAGAGGTGAAAACCCACTTTCGGACAACCCAGTTCTGCGTCTAACGCACGCTGCTCTCAGGCCACCTCACCCCAGGAGCACATGAATGAACGTCAGAGAATCTCTGGAATTGAATGCAAAATCATGTGCAAAATCAAATGTGCAGATGAACGGATTTAAAAAAATGTGGTATGTGATGGAATATTATTCAACCATGAATAGCACTGGAGTACTGAACTCTTCCAAACATCCTGTGCAATGGCAGCATCCTGGTCTCTGTTCTGCCCCAGCCAGGCTCCCCAGAGGCTGTGTAACTTCCTAAAGGCCCTGCCAAAGCTGAGCAAACAGGTTAGCGTTTGGTGAGTGTTTGTGGGGTTTAGCCACAAACTCTCTGTTAATCCTTACAGTGGCCCTGGGTAGGAGGGCATTATGATCTCCATTTCATAAGTGAGGAAACTGGCTCAGGGAGGTCAAGGGACTGGCCCAAAAACACACAGCTAGCCAACAGGCAGAGCTGGGACTGGAACCCTGTTCTGTCTGGTTCTAGAGCCAGAGTGACTCTATGGGTTAAACTCTGGGTTGGGGCGGGGACAAGTGACAGGCTTCTCTGCTCCTATGGAGTTTACAGTCTCATAGCAAGCTTGACAACAGGCAACCACATACACAAAATAATTCCAGAATACGTTAAGGCTCTGGGGAAAAAATGAACTGGGTGCAATGATAAAGTTGAGATAACAGAGGCGTTGCTTTCAATTGGGGGTCAAGGACTGAAACCAATAGTATGGGAAGGAAGGCACCGCTGCTGAGATGGGGTGAGGGGAAGTTGGCTGATTTGGGAAGTGACGGAAGGCTCAAGTGGCTGCAGCGAGAGTGGGCAGGGGAGGTCACCAAGCGCAACTAGGGTACAGACAGGGGCGGCAAAAAACAAAATCTAAGGGAAGCCCTGCATGGGTTTTCAGTGAGCGTGAAAGGAAAGATCCCATGGCAGTTGTACTGAAGGGCAGAGGGAAGGTGGGCAGTCCGGGGCGGGGCTGGGAGCCACGACACTCTCCTACCTAGTGCCCAGCGGGGCGAGACGGGTCACGCAGCCCCTACTCCCGGCTTCCCCAGCTTCAGGGGGCCTCGCCCCACCCGGCCCCACCTGGCTGATGATGTCACGGCGTTGGCCTGCGCTGCCTGTGACGTCATGATCGGGCCCGAGGCGTTCTCAGCGTCCGCGCTAGGAAGGAGCCGCCCTTGGCAGGCGCGAGGAAGCGGCCCGATGAAAAAGGTTACTTCGAAGCAGTCTCCGCCCAAGTTGTTCGGTGGGTGCGCGCCCCCGCGCGGGGAGCTGGTTGCTATGGACGCAGCAGCTGCCGCTGGCAGGCGCGCGCAGGGTCGCGGCGTCGCGGGGTCGCGGGGGCGTGCCGCAAGGCCACGTTATCTCGGGTCCCCGCGGGGTGTGGCGACGCTTGAGACCTGTCAGCATGATGAAGCCTCTAAAGAGGGAATCCCGCCTCAGAATATTAACAAGCAAATTCTTGGAGGTCGCAGAAAACATCAAAGGTTGGCTCTGGCTGCCTTGGGAGCCGCAGGAGAACCAAGCAGGGGCAGAGGTTCTTGGATGGGATTCACAGCAGGGGGCCTGGAAGATGGGGGTGATGCCAGGAGGTAAAGATCACCGGGGAATGGGGTAGGGGCAAAGCGTGCTCCATACCCTAAGGGGTGATGAACGAGGCTGAGAATCCAATAAGGGAGGGGCCCAGGGCACGGGGGTCTTGAGGATGGGGACATAGGAAGTGGGGGACAGACTGAGGCCTCAGCGATCAATTGTTGGGGAGATGGCCTTGGTCAGGAAGGCATAGGAGACCCCTACCTGGAACCACATCTAAGGATAGAAAGCAGAAGGGAGGGTCCCCGCTGGGGGTGGGGGGCAGAACGGGACGCAAGAACCAGGAAAGACTTTAAGACGAAAAGGTCCTTGGGAAGAGAAGTTCAGGAAGTAATACAAAACACATGCTGAGGTGGTGAAACCAACAACGTTGGTCGGATTCTTTGAGGGTGTCACCTAAGAGTCCTGCTGGAAAAACCCAAGAAATGCTAATTTGGCTAGCTCTGTTTCTGACTCCCTTTTCCCACTACATGCCCTTTCCAGCTGGGTGACACCTGCCCTGCTCGTTTAACCCGGTGGCAGTCACTAGACGTGACAGCTTCCCCACCTCTGCAGCTGCCCTGTGGTTGCAGGTGGGAGAGCCCCAGGGTGCTCGACAGCAGACTGACCCCCGTGGACATGTTCCCATTTGCAACGCACCCTCCCTTCCACCTTTTTTTGCTCTTTCCATTTATTGAGGGCCTGATGCGTGTGGGCACTGTGCTGGGCAACAAAGGCATTGGTATTAAGCCCAGCCCTCAAGAAATTCAGCCTCACGAACTCCCAGAGGAGGGACCAGACAATATAAATGCTGTGATATAGGTGCCTGGTGGCAGTAAGAGGGCTCGGGGCACCTGACCGAGGCCTTGGATGGCAGCTTCCAAGCCCTCGGGGGTGAGGTGCCCCGAGCCCTTGGATGGCAGCTTTAGGAGGGAAGGTTTTCTGAAAAAGGTGTCATCCGTGGTCAACAACAGCAACAAAACAAAACGGAGCAGTTTACTTCTCCAGGTCTAGGGAGCAGCACGAGCTGAGTGAGACATGGAACTGTGAGCGTGTGTGACCTTGGTGGCCGGGACAGAGGTGGTGAGTGTGGAGGAGAGGGCAGGGAGCCAGAGGGGCCTGCGCAGTGGCCAGGGGTCAGCCCATGAAAGGGTTTTCTGTGCCCTGGCAGGCCCTGGGGAGACCCAGCCTCGGAGTCTCAGTGAGAGCTCAGTGGGAAGAGAAAGGCAGGCCTGGGGTCCAACTAGCAGGCGCTTAACTGCTTTCAGCGTGGCTTTCTTTAGTGCGTCTTCGTAGTCTGAAAATCCAGCTTAGGTTGCGTTGCGATGCTGTTTCACGATACACTTTTTACAGTGAAGAGAGAAAGAAGGTAAGAAGAGCTGGTCTCCTTTTGCAAGGGCAGTCAAGGGCTCTCCTAGCTACTGCTTGCCTCGTTTCTGGAGACCTTAGCAGGCTTGAACAAATCAAGGAAAATTTTCCCCTGAATATTTATTTATTTTTTAATTTTTTTATTTATTGATTTGAGAGGGAGAAAGGAACATTGATTTGTTCTCCCACCTATTTATACATTCACTGGTTGCTTCTTGTATGTGTGTATCGAGTTGAATCTCTAACCAACTTAGCTACCTGGCCAGGGCTGCGTATTTATTTTTAATAAGGGGAAATAGAGTTTATAAAATAGCCTTTGAGTAAATGACATGCACCAGGGTGAGGAAGAAAAACACCAAAGTGCTTAGTTCCCCAGAATATCTCAGGGGGAGCCTCTAACTACTCCCCTCTCCCCCCACTATAATACAGCTAATCAACGAATGTAATCTTGTAATTTTGTGCTATGTTTCTCCAAGGTCTCTGAGTTATAAGCAAAAAGGCAAGCAAATATTATGACTGTAAACCTGTTTAGAGGTCCCAGCCCTTTTGATTCTCAGGTCTTGTTGCTAAGAAACAGGGGAGTCTCCCAGCCGATCCCCCGCCCTCATCAAGTAAAGCTCAGCCCAGGTAGCGACTCCCTGAGTTCCCCCCGCACAACCCTGAGGTCAGAGTTTCCTGAAGACTTTAATCAACACAAAAAAGAATAACATTGAGATAAAACAAAAAGCAGAAAAAGAGAGTCCAGGTTTCTTCTCCCTCTGGAGCGATCCCCTCTCCCCCAGCCGCTCCCTCGCTACCCTAAGCTCAACGCCTTGCTTCCAGCTGCCTGGTCTAGCTCCAGCAGAACTGTCACCTGACTGCCCCACTCAAGGAGGCTGGGGTCAGGATCAAGGGAGAAATGCCAGCTGTGTGGCTCCCCCGGAGCCCCACTCAGCTTTGGGTTCCAGACCAGAGAAAAGGAGATAGCTAGGCCTCCACACTCTTAGTGCCGAGACACACTTCGACCCTTCAGAATGTTCCCCCAGGTCCTACAGTGACCTCCATGGGACTGTCCATCCTCCCGGGTCTCCCCGACTTGCCTCTGCGCCTCTAGTCCGCCTGGCTCCCGCTCACTGGATGAATCACTCTGAGACGCTTTCATTTCATTCTCCTGGACCAAACCCCCTTCCTGCCAACAGAGGAGGAGATGCTCCACCTCTGCTTTACAAAGCCACCGTGCCCTGGCTTCCCCCTCATCCTCAATGTCACCCCCACCTCCCCGACAAGCCTTCTGTGTCACCATGCCTCCCAAATGCCATAGGCAGCCCCATGTCCGCCTTTGCTCCATGACCCCACCTGAAACACCTCTGTCTGCAGCTCCCCCTGCGCAAAGCCTTCCTGTCCTTCAAGACCTACCTTAGCCTCTGAGGCTTCCTCTGAGCCTTGCAGCTGCTCTTCTGAACCTTTGGTTAGAGCCCTCAACTGTATGATCCACATCCATCTGCTCCTGCTTTGATATGTAACCAAACCTGTTATCTGTGCCACTAATTTTAGGCCCTTGTGTTATGATTGGTGTGTGTTAGTGTCTGGTACGTTTTTAGTTCCTCAGCAGAAGGAGCCATATTTTAACCTTTTATGCCCCCTTCTCTATAGTTTATAGCATCTAAAAGGTGTTCGGTAAATATTCTCCAGGGTGAATTGAAATTTAAAATGTATGTATGGTTTTGAATATTTTATTAACTAAAACACACCATTCGCTAACTGCCTATTAAGATAACCTTCTCAGAAAAACCTCAGACCAGAGTTGCACTGACTACTTCAGAAATCTTCAGTAATGGTGAAGTTTTTTAAATTCAAACATGATAATGATACAGCCACCAGTCACAAGTACAGAGCTGGAGTTTAATCCCCTGGGAAGATGCAGAACCACCCAAGATGATGGACAGAGGAAGCAGACGCTCTGGAAAATAGAAATAATACAAAAATACTTATAAAAGTTGATCTTCAATTGGTACCAATTCTCTCTGGGGCCGCCACCAGCTTTGGTGACCATGTTGAAGGGAGATGGGAAGTAGAAATCAAACAAAACCTAAGGCTGCACGACCACACGTGGCGGCGAATGGGACCAGAGCCATGCGGTTTAGCTGACGATGCTCCTGAGTTTCCAGTGACCCCATTGCTGAGGAGCTGAACGCTGGCGCATAGGCAGAATTTAGAGTTATGTTTGGAATGATTCTGGCTGGGGGTTCATTTTGTTTTCTTTTTCTTGTTTGGGTTTGTTTTCTTTTTCCACCAATTACGTGGGCATTTCCTAAAAAAAAAAAAAAAAAAAAAAGAGTTTGACTTTCATAACCAAAACACTGACTTTGATGTTTTCGTCTTATTGCCCCTGCAAAAGCAGAGTCCTATGAGAAGCAGTGGACAAAACCAAGTTCTGTTTCAAAGTCCCTGAAGTCAGGACTCGGGTTTTCTTTTGATTATTTTCTTTAGTGCCCTACATCAAACTGTTCTAAACCGGAGGGCAGCAGGCAGGAGGACACCAGCCAAAGAAACGAGATGCATTTGAAGCTGTTAACCCAGCCCTGTGGAAGGAAGGCGGGGAGCGTGTCCTCATTGGAGAATAATTCGCTTCTACCCCATGAATTCTCATTGCCATGCCCCAGCAAGGCGTGGGGGGAAAACAGCCTCAGACCTCTCCACTTTCCTCCAGTCCCATCAGCCCTGTGGCCATCATCCGCTTCTCTATTGCGGTAGACTCCTAGATGTTCTCATCTAGAGTCTTGCACCCCCTAATGCATTCCTGAAGACTGAAGCCCTTTACACGGTTCACTAAACTCTTAGTGGCATGGCTCCTACTTCCCTCTCCAGACACGGCTCCTTACCTCCCCCTCGCTGCACTCCAGCTATTTTAAAAACACATGCTTTGAGTTCCAGCGGCGTGCTCTATTCTCTCTCGCCTCTAGGCCTCTTTTTTTTTTTCTTTTTTCTTTTTCCTAGGCCTCTTTATGCTAGTCCTTTTAGAATGCCTGTTCCCCAAACCCTTCTCCTTGCCTATGTTCTCTTCACCTTTCAGCACTCAGTTTAAACTTCACCTCCTTAGGAAGCCCTCCCCGACGACCCCCCAAAATTGGGCTGAGACCCCTGGCTGCTCCCATCGTTTAGCCTGACAGCCTTGTTCCCAGGGGTGTGTGCTTTTTGAAGCCTGAATCTCTGCCTTATACCCCCAGAGCCTAGCACAGTGCCTCACACATAGAAAATACTTCAACAGCATTTATTAAATGAAAGCACACAAACTAAATAGCTGTGAATGTTCTATTTCCCCCTGAAGCATCTATATTTTAACCAGCGTCTTAAGAAAACTGATGCCTTCACCCAGAAGAATGGATCAGTACCAGCAATGGAGGAGGCTGAGAAAGCATCTAGTCCAGTTGTCCCAAACCACTGTGCATCAGAACCACCCAGGGATATAATATAGCATCAGCTATATTTTAGCTATAAAAATATAGCTAGCCCTGGCTGGTGTGGCTCAGTGGATTGAGTGCTGGCCTGTGACCAAAAGGTCGCCAGTTTGATTCCCAGTCAGGGCACATGCCTGGGTTTCTGGCCAGCTGCCCACTTGGGGGCAACCAGTTGATGTATCTCTTGCACATCGATGTTTCTCTTCCTCTCTTCTTCCCTTCCCCTCTCTCTAAAAAGTGGATAATTTTTTTAAGTTAAAAATACAGCTCCCCCAGCCCTTGCTCCATGCAGGAGCCAGGAAGCTGTATTTGTGAAACTCCCCAGAAGATTCTGAGACAGACACTTGACTAATATTTGGGAGCCACTGATCTAGTCCAGCTTCCTCTTTTTACAAAAGGGAAGACTAAGGCCAAGAGAAGTTAAGTGGTATATCCGAGGTTGTCCAACTTCTAAGTAACACAGCCTAGAATGGAACATCATTTGATCTCATTTTTGCCTATGGAAACCTCAGTCGCTGTGGCAGGACAAGGGCAATGGGTAGGGGGACCTTCAAGAAAGAACCCCCGTTGCCCCAGTGAAGCGCTGCGCAGGTCTCTTGGCAGCCTCTGCTGCCTGTCCAGCTAGCCAGTTCTGCCTCCCAACCGTGGAGTCTAATCTATATCTATTTTTAAGCATTTGTAACTTTTCTGCTTGTCTTCAGAAAAGAAGCGGGCAAAGGTATCTGAACAGCCCACACCCCCCATTCAGGAAGAACCTGAGCCTGTTAGCAATGTCCTACAAGGAGATGACATTCTTGCCTTAGCCATTAAGGAGGATGACTTGAAGAAGGTAAGGATGAAGTGCAGGGACCTTTTCCGTCCACCCTGTGTGGTCTAGAACATCAGCGATGTCCACCATCGCTACTGCTTCCCTACGGGGAATGAGGTGATGAGGTATCTGGCTCTCCGTGGAGGCAAGAGCCATCATTCCCCTGCTACAGAAGGGAAAATGAGTCTAAGAAGCAAAGTTACAGATGTGGATAAAGCTGCTAATCCCTAACCCTAGGCTTTACCTGGAAGAGTCAGCCACTTCTCACCTGACCTTTCTGGAGGCATAAAATGTTATCATTTTCCCCTCTGGGACCTTGTTAAGTCTCATGGCTGTTGCATAGGCATTTCCTCAACGGAACATACTGACAGAGCTGGAGAAACAGATTTGTCAGCCTTCAGGAATTCCACAAAGAATTAGGACAGAGTAGATGGGTGGTGTTTTCCCTCCTCCAGATCTCAAGTGGAATTCTCCTCTGTTTTGTTTCTTTTTAGCAACACATTCCTCGCTCTACTGGAACAGGAGATAAACCTGTCATTTCCCAGAAGTTTATCCTCCGTAAACTCAAACCCAAGGATTCCAGGAGGAAGGTCTGCCACTTGGTAGCACATCCTGCTACGCCAGAGGCGGCCGCAAAGCCCCTGGACTACTCTGGTATGCCCGGCCTCCGCCCTGGCCTGCCTGGCCTCCGAATCCATGGGTCAGCCTCGAAAGAAAGCGGGGTCTCCTTCAGAGAGCAGCCCCCTTGCATCGTTTACATCTGCTAGCTACAGCTTGTCTTTCCCCCTCCTGCTCCTCCCCCAGGCCCGGGTGACAGTTTCTACAGCGGTGACCAGATCCTGCCCCACCACATCTTGGGGAGTCTCCAGGACTTCAAGAGAATTGCAGTTGCTCGGGGGAACACCCAGGTGCTCATGCTCAGAGCTGCCTGGAGGCAAGAAGTCGCCAAAGTCATTTCAGCCTCACACCAGGCAGAGTCGGGCAGGCTGGGGTTAGAAAGACAGTCCAGTCTCTGGGCCCTGGCGTCTGAAGTGACAAGTGACCCTCCTCCTGAAATAAGTGAAGCCAACTTAAGCTAGCTCAGCTGAAGTCAGGGAGTCTCTTCTAGGATACAGAGGTGCTTCGAGGAAGTCAAAGGCAACAGTGTGTCCGGCTCGGTTAGACCGAACCCAGACAGGCATCAGGGCCCCAGGCCCATGCTCCTAATCGCCTTCTTTTTCACCTCTCCCAACGCTGGCTGCTCTGCTCCTCGGTCCACACGCTGGAGGAAGCCGGCCTCCCGCAGCTCCCAGGGCTACAGGAAGAGTCAGCCCGTCTCTCTGACTTTCCCATCATGCAGTGCTGCTCTTTGTCTCAGTTCCTTCGCTTCCCTGGTGCCAGGCAAACAATCTCATTGCTCAGGGACTCAGAGGCCTGGGGTCCTATAAAAATGGCTCAGTCACCTTGCAGGTGAAGGTGTCTGCGTAACATCAGTTGAAGACTGACACATGGAAAGATTTTGAACACAATCTTAGAACAGAGGTTCCCCATTCTGACGGAGAGGAGACTGACAGCGGTTTCCAGGCCCCCCGGTTCTGTGATTTGTTTTCTGCCATAGCCTTGGGGTCTTGAAGAGAAGGGACCCTCGGCAGAGCCGGGAGGACAGTAGGGATTTTGCCCTAGAGAAACCTCAGCCCCACTTCAGCGCCTCTCACTACCCTCCGCACACTTACTTTGCAGCTGGCTGAGCTGATACACACCCCGCCCTGTCCGATGACCCTCATCTCAGCTGCAGAGGAGCCAAAGCACAAAGCCCCCAAAGAAGAGAAGGCGCCTCCCTGGGCCCCACCTCCTCAGCACAACTTTATGAAGAACTGGCAGCGCAACCTAGCCCTGTGGAAGAGGCAGCAGGAGGCCCTGAGCGGTGAGCGCGCAGATGGGCTCCGCCTGGCCTCGCCTGCACCCAGGCCCGCTGCTGGGCGTTCTCTCCCTCCGCCCGTCCAGAGATGGGTTCAGGCCATTCATTCGCTCGCTCCCCAGTGTTTCTCACCTAGCGGGTCCTGAAATCAGCCCAGTGCTGGGGCTGACCAGTGCTGGATGCTGGGCCCCTGTTTGTTCTGATACAGTGCGGGGGGGGGGGCCTCATCATGGCTCTCTCTGTAGAACGGCTGAGGAAGCCTGTTGGTGAGCTGCTGATGCACTTGGGGGAGACCTACAGACAGATCCAGGAGGAACGGGAGCTCATTGACCGAATGCTCCCCACACAGCATGACGGGAAGGTAAGGAGAGCGTTCCCAAGGGCTCCATGAAGAGATCTGGACGCAGGCATGGCTGCCTCAGTTTGCACAGTTGGGGACAAAACAAATGTATTTGTTGCAACTAAAAAGGCCTTTAATAAGTTATATTATTGCTCCTATTATTTGGTGATCAGGGACTGGCTAAGTAGGTAATTCATCCTGTGGTGGTCACTGGTAGTGAATTGAGAAGAAAGATAGCCTAGGTGCTGAGGTATTAGAATAGTCAGTGCTCTCTCTCAAAAGCTCAGGCTCCAGCGTTTGGACAACCAGGGCATGTTGCGTCTGGCCTGTCAGTGTGGTATCTGTGCCACCCACACCGTCTGGGGCCCGGTAAAGGCTGCAGGAGGGCATCCTGAGAACAAGGAAGTGTGTGCTGCTCTCCTGCTCTCCTGGCTGCTGCGTGCCCCCAGAGCGAGCATCTGTAGTCCGCTGCGCTCTCGTCCCCCGGGTCCCCACAGCAGCCTCTCTCCAAGGTGCCCGGGTGATCTGACTTGTCTGCCCTGCCCTGCCAGTGTTCTGAGGAGACCAGTGGGTTCTGGAGTCAGCTGGAGTATTTGGGAGATGAAACAACCGGTCTGGTAATGACGAAGACAAAAACTCAGCGGGGTCTCCTGGAGCCGATTACTCACATCAGGAAGCCATACTCCATCCAGAAGGAGATGGGTGAGGAGCAGGGCAGCGGGTGACTGGCCTAGGAGGGAGCACAGTGTGGCCCTGTTATGAGACCAACCAGGGACCAAATCCCATAACCCTATGGAGGTCCAGTTCCCTCTCCGGTAAGACAGTGATAGACAAGAGGTGGCAGAAGCGAGTGGGAGCGGAGCCTCTAGGGCGGCGCTGTCCAGAGCAGCCACTGTGAACCGCTGTGGCTGCGGAGCAGCTGGACTGTGACTACTCTGAATGGAGATGTGCTCTAAGTGTAAACTACACACTGGTTCGTATGCAAAATATATCTTGTCAATTATATTTATTACATGTTGAAATGAGAATATTTTTGATACATTGGGTTAAACTATATTACTAAAAATTAGTTCCACCCATTCCTTTTTTTACCCTTTTTAACCACCTAGACAATTTCACATTACGCGCCTCACATTTGTGGGTTGCATGCTGTTTCTGTTGGGGGACCCTGCTTTTAAAGGCTGCCAGGCTGCCCAGGTTCAGAGCAAGTTATTTGACCCCTCTGGTCCTCAGTGTCGACATCTGTAAACTACCGAAGGGGTTGTGAGAGAGGGTTAAATGAAGCATAATGTGTATTAAGAGGTTCTGGCCCATTGTTAAACACTCAACAAAAGGCCGTTGCTGTTGTTGTTTTTATTATCATCCAAAGATTTGATGGTTTGAAAGCTCATTTTGCAGCAGTCCTGTGTAGGATTGCGGAGGCCGAAGGTGCAGGGCAGGAGGACTGGAGCCCAGCAGCGGGGGAAGCTGCGTTTCCCCCTTTTCCGGAAGTGGTGCTGGGATGGGTGTGTTCAGAGCCCCCTGAGAGTGAGGGCAAAAGGGGCGTGGCAGCAGCCCACACTGGGGGGCCTTGGACCCTGCCGTAGGATTGCTGGCCCAGAAGGATGCTCCGTACCGCTACACCTGGAATCGGAGTCTGTTTCTGAGCGACCGGCGCCAGGAGCTGCGGAGCATCATGGCAGCGATGGAGTTCAGCCAGCAGGTTGGTAATGCCTCCGTGCCCCATCTGAAGCCCCTTACGGTGGCACCTGTTTTCAGTCAGCTAATCTTTCCTTTTTTGGTCTCTCTGAGGATATTGACGGCCTGGAGGTGGTGGGCAGAGGGCAGCCTTTCTCAGCTGTTATGGCAGAAGACTATCCAGTGTGTGAAAGGAGCCAGAAAAGTTCCTCTGAAGACACAGTGAACTTGTGAGTTGGGCCTGAGCCCTAGCGCTGACAGTGTTACAGGGCAGGCTTCCCTCCATGAAATCAGGGTGCCCCCATCCCAGCCTCTCGTGCCGACCGCCACCCGCTCCTGTGGCCATCTCTTCCCTCCCAGCAACCAGCTCCTTATGGGGATTTCCCATACACTCTTTTGCTGGTAAGTGGGGCTGCTCCAGACTCTCCTGGGGCTGTGCACACTGAGTGTCCCGGCGGGAAGAGTCTCTGTGTGTCCAAGAACCTCCTACCTACAGGAATGGAGCAGGACAAAGCTGAGTGCGCTGATGACATTCCACTGCAGGACAGAGCAGGGCACCTCCCCAGGCTTGCTGGCAGCCATTCCCGTGGGCTCCATGTTGCAAGACTATGACAGATTCGGGGAAAATACGTCACCGGTTTTTCTTGCAGAGATTTATTGCCCCCTTACCCTGATGTGGTTCCCATGCCTGTCCTTGGCCCTTCTCTGCTGTTCTGTGGGAAGCCAGCCTCCTGGACCAGAGGCAGTAACACACAGGGCAAGGTAAGCCTGCCTGCACCCTCACCCCTCTGCCGGGTGGGCCTCCCTTGGGTGCAGCCTCAAGGTGACTGGCAGTCACAAAGAGCCTGCAGGCTCCTGCTTGCATTTTTATCTGGTCATGCGTTCAGCATGTCTGAAAATGGCAACAGCAACATTACCTCGAGCCAGAATAAGATCACAAGGCTGAAAAGAGTGCCTGTCACAAGCTACTCAGTTTGTACCTAGCCCCCATGCATGTAAATAAGCAAAACTGCTCAGACGGGTGTGGTTTTAAGAAGGTTCTAAAATATCCTGATGCTAGGGAGCAGAAATGATCCTCAGATGCAAAATCTGTTTTATCTTCTCTTCTTACCGTTGCGGGACAGCCGCTGTCAGGGTGTGACACCGTCAGAGAGGCCAGGCCCTGGAGGGCCGGGACACGGGGCTTTCCGTGCCGAGCCCGGAAAAGTCCCTGGAAAACTGGGACGAGTTCGTCACCCTAGGCCAGGGTCTCCCTCAGAGACATTTCTCATACCTCCTCCTTCCCCAGAAGCCCGTGGGAATTGCTGTCAGCTTGAGCTTCGAAACTCTAGAAGGACAGAAAACATCTTCAGAACTGACTGTGGTCAATAACGGCACGGTAGCCATTTGGTATGACTGGCGGCGGCGGTCCCAGCCAGACTCTTTTCAAGACCTGAAGAGAAACAGGATGCAGCACTTTTACTTTAATAATCGGGAAGGTACCTAGGAGAAGCGGCCCTACTCACTTTCATTTATGAGAAGCTAACGTCCAGTCCATGCCCAGCTCCTTCCAGCTGAAACCCCTCTCCCCTGCCTCCTCCCTTCCACTGCTTCCGTGACGTGTGACATCTCCTAACTGTTTGTGTTTCCTGGGGGCAGGGAGGTGAGCCACCAGGGAGTAGAAGCATTCTAGGGGTTCAGTTACCTGTGTGCACGAGCCTGAGGCTAGGCCGACCAACGCTGGCCTGTGTGCCAGGGACTTTCCCCTTTTAGCACTGGAAGTTCCACATCTCAGGAAACACCTCCATCCTGGGCAAGGCAGGACGGTTGGTCACCCTCCCTGGAGCTCAGTGAAAAATACCTGCTTTGGCTAAAGGGCTCGGTTAACTTTTGACATGCAGGCTCTGAGCTTAGTGAACTTCTCCTTGGTGAAAACCTCTGTCTTTCTCCCTCTCAGGTGTGATTCTCCCTGGAGAAACGAAAACCTTTACCTTCTACTTCAAGTCTTTGCATGCTGGGATCTTCAGGGAATTCTGGGAGTTTGGAACTCACCCCATCCTATTAGGAGGTGCTGTCCTGCAGGTCAATCTCCATGCAGTCTCCCTGGTCCAGGACATGTACAGGGATGAGAGGAAGCAACTGGAAGTAAGGGACTGGGGATCTTGGCCCGGGAGGACAGCAGCTAAGTGTCTGTGGTGTGCTTCTTAGCACAGCCTGCAGGGGTCTGGTTTCCCCCATTGACTCTGGCTCAACAAACACTTCCCAGGGCTTTGCGATTAGAAGATGGGTGGGGAGGCCAGAGGAGGGGCAGCTTTGAGCTCCACCGTGCATGGCTCCCACCGTGCATGGCTCCCAAGAAAGGAGTCTGGGCCTTAGGATGCACGCTGCGGGAAGCACTTGAGCACACACACTAGGAACGACCTGCACCCACCCAGGTACTGCCTTAGTTCACTGCTGTCTGGTACCCTCCGGTGAAGTCGCATTTAACTGGCAAGACTTCAAAACCAGACAAAACCACAGAGAACAGTTAAACCAGCGGGGCCAGCACCCAGGAGTGTGCGTGAGGCAGGAACTGGGAGTCTGCCGGGCCCCCACCATGTCCGTAGCCTGGCCATCTAGCGCCGAGCTTGGTGGGATCCTGTGAAAAGCTGTGCTTTTCCTATTCACAGGGTCCCCACACACGAGCCAGCTACTTCAGCTGGGGCTCGACGGGCGGCGATCAGAGACAAATGCAGTGTCTGCTTTACTGGCTAGTATAGGACTGGCCTCTCTCTCAAGATGTGCCTGTTTCTGTGATACAGACTGTGTGACCAAGTCAAATTCTCAGCAAGACCCAAACCATGCTGCCCCTGGCCTTGGCCGTCCTTCCTAATCTATGGGAAACGCTGACTGTGACCTCCTGGTCCCACAGAGGAGCAGATTCTCTGGAACTGTCCTCTCCTCAGGATCCTTTCAGCCTCTTTCAGGGAACAAGGATGTTTGGGAAGACCCAAGAAGGTTTCAAGTCTGGGAGTAGGACTCTGTGTGTGTGTGTGTGTGTGTGTGTGTGTGTGTGAGAGAGAGAGAGAGAGAGAGAGAGAGAGAGAGAGAGACAGGGACAGAGACAGAGACAGAGACAGAGACAGAAAGAGAGGTGGATAATGGCAGGAAGGCACAAAGTCCCCAGGGATCTAGCTCCCCTCCGGGATGCAACACGGGTTTTGAAAGCCTGAGCCAGCCTTGTGCCACCTGTTCTTCCCCAGAAAGATCTGTCTTCCCATGAGGTGGCCACCATTGCACAGTGTTTGCTGCTGGAGCTGCTGGAGGGGATCCTGACTCAGGAGCGAGCACAGACCCCCGTGGATGCCTACCTCACAGAGGAGGACTTGTTCCACCACCGGAACCCTCAGGTACAAGCCCAGCCCTGGCCCTGCCCTTCATGCGTGCCCTGCGTGGAAGGAACGGCAAACCCTCCGATACGCTCGGGTCTGCTCTGAGCTTCTTCCGTGAGGAACTCACTGCTTTCTCCTCCCAGCAGCCCTAGGAGATGAGCACTATTTATACCCTCACTGTAGATGGCGGGAAGTGTGGTCCAGGGAGGTTAAGTAATTTGCCCAAGATAACATAGTTCCTAAGTGGACACTTGGTGAGAACAGTTTCACAAACCCCTTCATTCAAAGCCAATATTCCTGGGAAGCTCACATACAAAACAAACAAACAAACAAAAAACCTTGAGGTTGGAGATGCTCAGGTTGAAGGGGAAGCGGGGGCGCCCTCTGGCCACAGCCACTCCTGCTGGTGTCCTCCCTGCCTCCTCCATCAGTGCTCTGGAGGGAGAGGGGAAACCGGAGCAGGCTCCCCGGCTCTGGTCCCCCTGCGCCCAGCCTTCCCGTCACGTGTCTTCCCTTGCCTCTGCTGTAGTTGCACTACCAGCACCAAGTGGTGCAAAACCTGCACAGATTGTGGCACCAGTACATGACCCTGCCCTCCAAGGCCGAGGAGGTCAGGCCAGGTGAAGAGGAGCGCCGTGGCCCCAGGGCCCCGGCGGCCGTGACCCAGGCGGCCCACTTGGAGAAGGCCCCAATGAACGTCGAGTCTTTGGCACCCGTTCGGACCCCAGTCTTGGAATCCCAACTGCCCCGGCAGGAGAATATGGCCCTCAGGGACTCCCAAGATTCTTTCAGGTCCCAGAAGACTGGCGTGGGGGCCCGGAGTTTTCAGCAGAAGGGCGCCATGGAGGAGGCCCTAGTGCAGGGGAGCCCAGACCTGGGGGGCGCCAAGAGCCCCTGGGAGCTGGAGCGCCTCCCCCCGCCTGAGTGGAACCTCTGCCTGGAGGACTTCAGGAAGGTGCTTCCCTGGCCCCAAAGGGGAGGGGGCGGGAGAGTGGCGCTGGCTCAGCGTGGTGGTGGGGGGGGGCCCAGCAGTGCCTCTCGCCCCCCATGGACAAGGAAATAAAACCTTCTGAGGGCCTGGAGAAAGCCGTCTCTTGGGGCACCTCTTCTTGTCTCGGGTGCCTAGGCCACTGTGGTGCTGGAGGGGCTCCCTCCGTGGCCCTGGCAAACCTTTGAGAAGGGGTTCGAGGGTACGGGTTTCTGAGGGAGGTCCCAGGCCCCTGCCAAAGGCGCCCCGGGCAGATTCCCCACGGCTGCATCCTGTCCTGCACACGAGTCCTCACAGCAGCACGCCCATCCCTGAGGACACAGAGGTGCTTGGTGCCCTGGGCAGAAGAGTTGTTCACGGTACCTATGACCCTGCCAGGCAGTAATGATGCTCCCTGAGGAGAACCAGAGAGAAGACACCCTAATCAGGCTCAACAAAGAAGCCCTGGAGCTGTGCCAGGAACAGAGACCATTGCAGTCTGACTTCCTGTACCAGATGTGGTAGGTGTCCCACCAGCAGAGCCGCCCTGTCTCCTCCCCCTCGTGGCATCAGGCCAGGGGCTCTGAGCAGGCAGTCCCAAGACTCCAGGGGGCTGAGCTCCCTTTGAGCTCAGGTTGCTGAAGGATGCCACAAACACTCCATGCTTGGCACCTGCTGCCTGCTGCTCTCTGCGGGGCAGTTGCAGCCCAGCGGGCCCCTAGACATTTATTTCCTTCTCTTTCCTTGACCCTTCTCAATGAGCAGAAGAGAAACCAGAGGGTGGTGAGAAGAGGGGCATATTCCACAAAAAGCCTCAGTTCTCAGTCGTCAGCCTTCCCGTCCCTGGTTTGGAACTTGCTTGGATAGGCTTGGTTTTTGTTTTGTTTTTTAAGATTTTATTTACTTATTTTTAGAGAGAGGGGAAGGGGAGGAGAAAGAGGTGTGGAGAAATGTCAATGTGCTAGAGAAACATCAATAGGGAGACCTGGTCTGCGATGCAGGTATTTGCCCTGACCAGGAATCGAACTGGTGACCTCTCAGATTGCGGGACAATGCCCAGCCCACTGTGCCACAGCAGTCAGGGAAATGGGGGGTAGGTTTTTGCAAGGCCCTTAGAATGCATCCCCATGAGCCCCATGCTGGAAATCTCCTGCAAGGTCCGGCCGTGGTTTCAAGCCAGAGTTAAGACTGACCCCGCCCTAGCCCCAGATGACGCTTTTTCTTGGCTGAAGCCAGGTTTCTGTCTGAGCATTTGCACAGGTGCTGGTGAGGATGCTGGCCGCACGGGGCATGGCATTTCCACGGGCAGCTCCCGGGACCAGTGTCTTGAAAGGGAAGGATCCAAACCTCTTGCAGGTTTTAGAGCAAATAAAGGGTGATGGCTTTTCTCCAATGTATCTTGCCTTCTAGTATGCAGCTGTGGCGGGATGTGATCGACAGCCTGGTGAGCCATTCCCTGTGGCTGAGGGTGCTGCTGGGCCTGCCCGAGAAGGAGACCACCTATTTGGACATGCCAGGAGAGCAAGGTCCGACACTGTGCAGCCATGCCTGTGCGCAGTCTTCCCTGTCCCCCTGCCTCAGGCTTTCACGCCCCTCTGGTGTGATCCACGGAGCAGGCCCCGGCTACCCTTCTCTCTGTTGCCAAGGTCTAGAACCCAAAAGTGACCTTATTATCACCTTAGTTCAGCTCCCTCGGTTCACAGGTAGAGTCCCAGAAGGATTAAAGGCTCTCCTGCGCCGCACATGGAGGGGCGGTGGGGCTGGGACTGGAACCAGGCCTCTTGCCCCTGCCCCGCAGTCCTGTTCTTCCAGGTCTCACACCTGAACCCGGGGCTCTGCTCTTCGTCGGTGGGAATTCTCTCAAAGCTGCCGAGGGCACTTGGCTTTTCCCGACTCCCACCTGTGGGGTCAGCCAGGCAACAGGCCACGTGGTCCTCCATTCACCTTCCTCAGGTCGAAAATCACCTTCTGCCGTGGAAGTGAAGTCGTCTACCGGGAGAATTGGGAAGGAGGACCGGAGAGGGGCAGCCCAGGAAAAGAAGCAGTTGGGAATCAAAGACAAAGAAGACAAAAAAGGAGCTAAACTGCTGTGGAAAGAGGCATGCTCTAGGACAGGGGCTGGCCCGGGGCGGGGCTGCGGAGGCCACCGAGGGTCTGTGGAAGGTCACTGTGGCATGATGCCCCAGCTCTCCCAGTGAGCTGCTCTAGAGAAAGCCCTAGACCTCCCCCAGGAGCTACTGAAAGCCTTGTGTGTCTCATCTCTCCAAGCAGGACCGCTTACAAAGCAAGAAGCACAAGGCAAAGGACGATAAGAAATCTGTGAAACCTTTAAGTCGGGACAGGCTTTTCTTGGAAGACCCTGTCCCTGACAGCACCACCCCTTCTCAGGAACCCATAGACCCCCTGGTCATGGAGAAATACACCCAGAGGCTGCACATGGAGGTGAGGGCAGAGCCCAGCGCTCAGCCCTCCCCTCGCTCATTCCTTCCCTGCACACTTTTCTCCACTCTCCCATTCATCCCATTTGTTCTACAAATGGTAAGTGCCTACTGCATCCATGATGGAAGCAGAGCCGCCCCCTAAGGGTGAAGGGCGTCCTCATGTGCGAGGCAGACTTTGTCTGGTATGTTAGATGATGAGCGCCAAAGGAAAGAGAGAAATAGACCAGACCAGAGCCAGGGGTCAAAGAAGGCCCAGATGGGGCAGGTGGGCCTCAATGAGAAGGTGATATTGAACAGAGACTTGAAGGGAGGTGAGGGGCGGCCACGTGGATTCCTGAGGAGGAGCGTCCTAGGGAGAGGATGCAACTAATGTAAGTGGAGGGAGTGGCCAGGAAGACAGAGGGCAGACAGGCCACGGAAAGGGAACAGGTCATGTGGGGCTTTGTAGGCCACGTAAGGACTCAGCGACTTTCTGAGGAAAACAAAATTACACAGGGTTTTAAATAGAAGAGTGACATGGTCTGACTTACGCTTTTAGAAGATCAATCGTCCCGGCTGCCATTTGGAAAATAGACCAAGGGGAGCTGAGCAGAAACCTTTCCCTGTCTGTCGCTCCTGTTTCCTCTATGTTAGATGGAATCTTGGCCAAGGGTATTCCTTCGGGGACAGCGTGTAGAGTGAATTTCCAGCAAGGGTAAGGGTTTGGAAACAGCGGAGAGACTCCGTAACGATGCATTCTTAAGCAGTAGGTCCTTAGGAACTCATCCTGGTGTTGTGTGGGATTCCTAGTCATTGTCGCTGTTTGTTTTGGAGGGAAGGTCCATCTAACAGTGAGGCTTTGTCTTCCTCTGGGGCGGGCTGCTGGTAGCTGGGCTTGCGTCACGTGTTATGGTAACGCTCTGGGTCTCATTTGATCAGACGATCCCATTTGCTTCTGGCGACATCCCTGAGATTTCTGAAGGTCGATGCAGTCTAGATAGATCTCACAGGTCTCTGAGGACCCATGGGGTGCACCCTTGGTTTTCTGAAATTAAGAACGAACTTGCTGAGGCTTGTGTGGTCCAGCCCTACTGACGGTACAGTCTTGGAAACATTTTGGTATGAGGATCTGTGATCTTACAGGAATGAAAGTTGACGTTGGGGCCAAGGTAGGATTGAGCCACCCCAGGGGACAAAATGGGCACTGTTCCCTGGCCTCCCTGGAATTGCCTTAACCACGCTAGGCTCCCGTGTCCCCGTACCTCCTAGGGGCTAGTGCAGGATTACCTTCGCAGACTGGTTTGGAAAAGAAAACTATTTGCAAAAACAGAAGTTCTACAGACATTCTCACCACTTTGGTTTTATTCCCTCTCTAGCTGTCTCGGTGTGGCATGAATATGTCCACCCTTGTAGCACAGTGGGTACTGTCTTGTGTAGGTATTTTCCACAGGGCAAACCTTCGCCTGTGCTATTTGTGCCGTTCTTCCAGGTCCATGGGCTGCTGGACACCCTGGTGACCAACCTGATGCTTCTGGCTGACGAGCTCGGCCCCGGAAAGAATGTTGAGGAGACTTTGAGTCTTTGCACTTGATTCATGTGCCCAAGCAGCCTTCTGGGCATCTGGGTAACAAACAAATCAATAAAGAACCTTTAAGTTCCTACCATTTCCATCATGCCTCGTGTCTTGAATTCTGCCTCTTGATGAAATCAGCTCACAGCCCAGGTCCTCCCATGTCCCAGCTGCCCTCAGGTCTCCGGCACCCACCCTGTCCCAGTTCCTGGAGTCATCCAACAGGAGGCGAGAGAAACACACCTGGGGAGGGGACGTGTGGGATGATGAGCCTACGAGCAAGTTGATAGCAGGACAAGGGATGAATCAGATGACAGGACAGATGGCGTCACCCTCACAGTTCCTGCCTCTGCCTTTCCTTGCCCCAGACTTTCGGGGTCATGCTTCCTGGAGCCAGGTCTTCCCCAAGTGTCATCACCAAGGATGACAGAGCATGAGACTGGGAAAACTAGAACCCCTGGGACCTGGCTCCCTGAGATGCTCCCACTTCAGCCGGGTCCCAGGGCCCTGTCCCAGTGTGTGGGGATCATGCTCACCACGCTCTCAACCTCTCGGGGCTGGATCCCTTTGTCCGCAGCCAGAGGTGATTATTCTGGATTCCAGTGTGTCATCCCTCTCCTCATGTCAAAGCGGCTGGCCCCCTTGAGCTACTCTTCTCTTCTGCCTTAAAATCAGCCTCTGGACTTTACACCCCCTCTCTTGCTCAGAGAGATGTGAAGTGGGTAAGAGATGGCCCACTTGGAGAAAAAGGTGCTGTTAGGTCAGACTCAGTACCATAATAGTTTTCTCGCTGGACTTCCTGTGTGGAGTGGGTTCCAGGCTCCCAGAGTTTAAAGAACAACTTTGCTAATGGTGGACCTTTTGCCTGAAGTGCCCGTGATGCACAGAGGTGTGAGTGGGACACTTGAGGGAGTAGCCACAGCCTCCCATCCACTCAGTTTTGCATTCGGTGCTTCTGATGACCTCATGGGCCTCAAGCATCCTTCAGCTGAGAGGGGAGGAAGTTCCGGCAGAACACTTAGTGTTGGAGAAGCAGGGAAGGGGCTGTGCCCGGAGTTCTGCCAGGGCTGATGTCCCTGTCAGGGTGGCCAAGGGGGCCCGCTGGGGGCCCCACAGTACAGAGTAACTTTATGAAAGGGCCAGCCCCAGGGACAGGTCCTCCTGGCCCAGAGCGGGAGGGGAAAGGTAGGGTGGGCATTGGAGCCCCCGGCCCTGTTTCCTGTTGAGGAGGCAGGGGAAGGGTTAATACACTGCAGGGGGGATTGGACCACCAGCACGTGCTCTCAGGCTCCAGATCGGCACCTCTTGGGGAATGCCAGCAGGCAAGCCTGCCACCTCTGAAGGCACCGCCTGCCCGGCCAGCAGGAAGGGGTTAACACGCCCAGTGCTTCCTCCTGTGTCCTGTTACTGCTGAGGCAGACCTGCCCGGCCAGCTGAGCAACTTTCCTCCTGAGTGCTGCCTGCCGGCTGGGCATCCAGGAGCCCGGCGGACAAGAGGCAGAGCTGCAGCCCGTTCAGGGGACCCTGCCGCGCCCTTCCAAGGGGTCTAGGCCTCCTTGGCGAGGGTGGGTCTCTGGGACGAGGGTCTGCGGTGGATGGCTCTGGGGACGATCCCGAAGCTGTGCCGCCCCCCTGCCGTGCCGGTTGGAGGGTCGCTGCAGAGGCTGCTCACGGTCCCGGGGCTGGGGCCAAGGGAGCCTGCACCAGAGGTAAGCTGGCCCTTCCCTGGCAGCGGTGGTGCCCCAGTGGAAGGTTTGGGGCTTAGTCTCCCCTCCAGGCTCCAGGGGAGGGGTGAGGAGGACAGGGCGGTGGAGGGGGCTTATTGCTCCACATGGGCCTCCTGCCTGCAGCCCCTCCCTCCCTGCTGCCCCCAGAAAGGAGGACTGGGGGCTTGCTCCCCAGCCTGGAACAAGCATCTTTGGTTGCATTCCTCACAGACTCCTGCTCCTCTCTCCCAGCCCCTCCTCCTCAGCCCCTGATGCACCTTAGCCTCAGGCAGCGCTCATCCTGCTCCAGTGCCCCCAGCACAGAGCTGACTTCAGCTACAGCCAGAGGGCACTCCCCTGTCCCTCCGGCAGCAAGAGTCAGGGCACTGCCACTCCCCCCACTGTCCCTGCTGGACCCGATGGAGGACAGAGGCCAGCATCTGCCTTAGCAGAGGATGGGAGGGGGTGCCGGCCCATGGGGCACGCCCAGACTTCGGACACACTCACCCACGTGACTGACATCTGGGTTCTTTCCGACTCCCTGAACCCCGACTCTGGAGCTGTCATCTGCCCCCTCAGTTCTGACAGGTCCCCTAGTCCCCTAGTCCTCTGGGCCCTGGGAAGGGCAGACCCTTTCTCCCTGCAAAGTTCTTCTTGGGACCCTACTCTAGGAGAGAGCTGATACCTGTCCCCCCAAAGCTGGTCCCACCCCCCGCTGGCCCTTCTCCCATCCTGCCCCCCTACAGCAGATTCCTCCCTCCTCTTTCCCTGCCCTCCTGCCTCTCCTGCCCTCTCCCCCCGTCTCTGAATTGGCCTCGTAGGCCCAGCCTTCTCAGTGTCCTTCCCTCCACCTGACAGGGTCTGGCTCAAGGTCACTGCAGTAATTCCATACCCGGCTGCCCAGGCTGCCTCTGCCGCTGCTACTGCCACTGCCGCCTTATCGGCTGCTGGGTTTCTGTTTCACTCCCTTTTATTTCTGGGCATATTGTGTTCGATAAAACCCTTTGCTTGTAACACTGCTGGCAGAGCTCCCAGCCGCTCCCTCCCGCGTTCCTTCCTCTCCTCCTCCCGCCCTTCCGCACTCCCTGAGCCTCGCCCTGCCCCCTCTTCCTACCTACCTTGTTCCCTTCAGACTTCAGGTGTTTCCGACCCCTCCCCTCCCCTAGCTCAGGCAGAGGTGTGCAGGGAAGGCTCTGCCATGCCCACCTCCCAGGAGAAGAGTTCAGGCAGGGCTGCGGCGCCCACACCGGGGGCCCCTCCCACCACCCTCCTCCTTGGCTGGGCAGGAGGGCCAGGTAGAGCTCCTGCCGGAGTCACGATGCCTGACTGGTTCTGCTGGTTTCAGTGGCCAGCACGGGGAGCGGCATGCACTCTGGGCGGGCTTTGGGACACAATCATTTCTCATCCTGAGTCTTGCCACCTGCCAGCCCACCGGTCAGAGAGGTAAAGACAGGTCTGAGTCACTAGTGAGGGGGAGGGTGGGCGGGAGCTAAACAAGTGCGGGCCAGCGGCATACCCTCAGAAGGCCGGCTGGACGGAAAGGCAGCAGACAGAAGGTAGGCAGTGCTTTCAGCCAGCGCTCCCCAGCCCTCCGGGTCTCCCAAGGGACCCCACTGTCTGGGCGAAGCTCTCCCAGGCACCTGGGCCCTGAAGAAAGCTATGAGGCCTGTGGGTGCCTTTGAGATGAGCCCTGTGCTGGCAGAACTGGGGGGCGGTGTTGAGGGGGTAGAACTAACTCCTTCTGACTCCTGCTGAGTCCCAAGGTGGAGCTGAGAGGTGCAGTCTCTGTGGGTGCTGGTATCGGTGGGGGTTCAATGGTGAAGTAGAGGCTCTGCAGGTCCAGCCAGTGTGCGCGCGCGCGTGTGCGCACGCATGCGCCCCGGCCACTGTATACCCATACCAGAGTAGTGGTGATGGCAGGACTCCAGTGTGCCTTTCTGGTAGGACCCTGGGAGAACATTTCTCTGACTTGGGCCTGGGTTGACTTTCAGCAGATGGTCCGGTCCTATGGCTGTGGGGACAAGCACCTGGCTGGCCCAAATCCCCCTGTAGCTGGGGTATCAGAGTTCCGCCACGTGCCCCAGGCAGGGGGGTTTGGGGAGCCCAGACCAGCCTTGCCCGCAGGGCGCTTACATTGTGGCTGTAAAGGCGGGGCTGAGACAATAAAACAATCAGATGAATTAATTAAAAAACTGGTGACACTGACAACAGGTATTGGATTAGTCTTCTGGAGACCTAATCCCAGCTCTGCCACCTACACGCCATGGGACTGCGGGCAGGCCGCGTCCCCTCTCTGGCCTCAGCGCTCTTGTGCGTACAGCAGGGGTGGCGGCGGCTGGATCTCTGGGAGGCAGCCCCTCCTAATGCTCCTTCCTCCCTCACCTGGCCCAGATCTCTGGGAGGCAGCCCCTCCTAATGCTCCTTCCTCCCTCACCTGGCCCAGCTCACGGTAGTCCCTCTGAGCTGCCGCCCCTCCCGCTCCCGCCTGCTGGCTCACTCCTCCTCTCCCCTGCCTTCATATCTCTGGACTCAGCTCAGCCATCACCTCCTCCGGGGAGTTTCCACTGAGTTTCCTAGCTTGGGCACTCCTGTGTTCCTCTGCACTTTTTTGCGGGGCTGTGGTCGCCTGTACCCTCTCAACTGGATTGGGGTGGGTACCCCAGGACTTACGCCTTGTGTCTGGTTCAGAGAAGGCCCCAGGAAACAGGTAGAGAATGAATCGAGATACAAAATGAATATGAAAAGAGACGAAAGTGAGGACTGAGAAGTTGGAAGACAGGTCTTAAGCTAGATCCTGGCAGAAAGGGGAGAGGAAGCCAAGCGCAAGCTAGCCCCGTAGGCATTCCTGGGGGTCATTTTTGTGTCCCTCAGTAAAGGCAAGGACCGTGGTGTGTGTGTGCCTAGGTTTATCCCGAATCCCCACTTACAAGCTCTGTGATCTGGGGCAAGTCCATCCTTCTCTAAGGCTCATTTCCTCTCTCTGAGGTAATAATAATAGCATCTTTCTAGTATAGGGGGAAAATAAACAAGCATGCAAAGCTGGAAGTGCCTGCTGAATAATAAGTAAAATAAGACAAATAAAAAGTGCTGGTTGGAAGCTGTTCCCGGCCGCTGGCACACCCTGGACAGGCCTTGAGTTAGTGAGTGAGTGGCCAGCTAGAGGGGCCATTGCCCCTGACTCACAAACCCTCTCTTCCTCAGACCCATGTGGAACCCAAGGACGAAGCCGCCCTGCTGAGAGCACGGCGGCCCATCCTTGGAAACCGTGACCTCACGACGGTGGCCCTCGGCCCTCCACCTCCGGCTGGGGCGGGGGGCGCCCATCTCCAAGTCCCCAGCCATGACGACCTCAGCGCTGCGGCGCCAGGTGAAGAACATCGTGCACAACTACTCCGAGGCGGAGATCAAGGTGCGCGAGGCCACCAGCAATGACCCCTGGGGCCCGCCCAGCTCGCTCATGTCAGAGATTGCTGACCTGACCTTCAATACGGTGGCTTTTGCTGAGGTCATGGGCATGCTGTGGCGGCGGCTCAATGACAGCGGCAAGAACTGGAGGCACGTGTACAAGGCGCTAACACTGCTGGACTACCTGCTCAAGACAGGCTCCGAGCGGGTGGCCCACCAGTGCCGGGAGAACCTCTTCACCATCCAGACACTCAAGGACTTCCAGTACATTGACCGTGATGGCAAAGACCAGGGCGTCAACGTGCGCGAGAAGGTCAAGCAGGTGATGGCCCTGCTCAAAGATGAGGAGCGCCTCCGGCAGGAGCGGACCCATGCCCTCAAGACCAAGGAGCGCATGGCGCTGGAGGGCATGGCCATGGGCAGCGGGCAGCTGGGCTTCAGCCGCCGCCACGGCGAGGACTATGGCCGCTCTCGGGGTTCCCCGTCCTCCTACAATTGTGAGTGAGCCCTGGGTGCATGGCTGGGGACAGAGAGGTGGCCTGAGTTCCAGTTCTAGCTCTACAACCTCAGAGGGATGTCATGATGATTCAGTGAGATAAGGAATATAAAGTGTGAGGCGAAATGCCCAGCACATAGTAGGTGCTCAACCAGTTAGCGTAAACAATGATGACAGCATACACTTGTTGTTATTATTGTTAATTCACTGTCTGCGGCAGAAACACAGGCTCTGGAGTCCAGCAGCATCCCTTGCTCTGCCCCTTCCAGGCTGTGTCATCTGGACGGCCACCTCTCTGAACTTCAGCTTCCTCATCTGTAGAGCGGGGATAATCTTATCTACACTTGTTTGATGTGAGAATTAATAGGACCAGGCCCGGGGCTGCTCTCAGCGCTGTGCCCAGACACATGGCACACGGTGCTCCATCGGTGGCATTGCCTCTAACCCCACCAACTCGAGGGCACTGTCCTTGGAAATGGGGGTGGCTGATGAGCAGTTTCTGACTCCCCTTTCCATCCTGGTGGGGGCTTCCCCGATCTGAGATTTATTCAGAATGGCCCCCCTTTCCAAAGCCCTTGACAGTGTGCTGTGGGCTGTGAGAGCCGTGACCTTGATGGGAGCCTCTCATCCGCCCACCCCATTTGACCTCACGCTGGATGGCGCCCAGCTGGAAGGGTCAGGGAACCTGGGTTCAAGTCTGGCTGCAGGACCCCGAGCAGGCACCCTTTAGAGCTGTTTGCGGGTCTGTGAAGGAGAGAGTGGACTCTGTATGGGGAGGAATGGGAAACATTACAGAAAGTGCCAAGCATGTGGCCTGGCTCCCCAGGGCCCTCGGCTGCCCGTTGTCCTCTTCCCCTCAGTTTCTGTCTCTGAGCCTTGGCTTCCTGGAGGGGGTGGGGTGCGGGAGCCCATGAGTGCCTGTGGGGTCATGGAAGCCATGATGGTCATTGCAGCTTCCTCCTCGTCCCCCCGCTACACCTCAGACCTGGAGCAGGCCCGGCCCCAGACGTCAGGAGAAGAGGAGCTGCAGCTGCAGCTGGCCCTGGCCATGAGCCGGGAGGAGGCTGAGAAGGTGAGGGCCCCTCCTGGGGCAGCGCAGGAGGCCCCGCAGCTGGGCTGGGGTTGGCATGGGGAGGACACTGGGGGAGGAAGGAGAGGTCCCTGTTTTCCATGCACTCTGACTCTTAGGCTCCCCTACACTGGGCCCCAAAGCCCTGGTCCCGCTCCCAAGGACAGCCCAGGGCCTGTCTGTGTCCCTGCGATTGTCCCAGCAGGGATCACCTTCCCGCCTCCAGTCCTCTCTGGCTGGGCCTGGGAAGGACAGTGAGTGCATAGTGGGTCGGGGGTAGTCGAGTGCGGACGGGCCTGCTGCCGCCTCACGGAGGGGAAGCAGGTAAGTGTGCTGACAGACACATCCCTCGGAGACGCAGAGACATGCTACCACCCCCCCCAGGGACAGCCCCCAGGCTATCATCCTCTCTGCTGTCACCTCTGTGGATCCAGGCCCGCCCAGCAGGAAGCAGGGCTTGGGGAGACACAGGGGACCCAGAAGAAAAAGATTGAGCTTCTTGATTTTTAAACTGCATCTCAGATCTGGCCAGGGAGAAGGCCGTGCCCACATTGCTGTCCAGGGTGGGCATTTCTCTCTCTGTCCCACATTCCCCGTGCAGGGCCATGTTGCCTTTTGGCCCAGGAGTGGGAGTGCTGGGCCAAGTTCACCCCTGTCTTCCTCCCTCACAGCCAGTCCCCCCAGCCTCCCCCAGGGACGAGGACCTGCAGCTGCAGCTGGCTCTGCGCCTGAGCCGGCAGGAGCACCAGAAGGTAGTGGGCTAAGACTCCTATGCCGGTGCTGGTGCCGGTGCTGGTGCTGGTGCTGGTGCTGGTGGAGGTGCTAACCGGGCATTAACCAGGCTCCTCCTGCTTCACCTAGTGGTTCTGCTGTGCCTAACCTCTCTGTCGCCTCCCACCGGGCACTTTTCTGGACTCCGCTCAGTTCCCCTCCAGTCCAAGCTGGGCTGCCCAAGCTCCCCTCACTCCCCTTGTGCCTTCTGCAGGAGGTGCGGTCCTGGCGGGGAGATGACTCCCCCATGGCCAACGGTGCTGGGGCTGCAGTCCGGCCCCGTCAGCAGGACAGAAAGCCTGAGAGAGAAGAGAGAAAGGAGGAGGAGAAGCTGAAAACCAGCCAGGTAGGGAGGGTGCTGGGCTGTGTGGGCTGGCAGAGCCGGAGAGATGAACCGAGTTCATATTTGTAAACAGTGCAGAACAGTGCTTTGTATACAGTAAGCACTACTAAAGTGTTTCCTCCATGAAAATGGGGGTGGAGGGGGTGCAGCAGTCCCAGCTTGGGTCCCCTACTGCATAGGCTGGTGGCCAAGCCGATAGCAAAGTGGCATGCAAAGAATCCTGATCCAAGACCCTTCGAACTGGGTTCTGGATTTGCTGCCACTTTAAGATTGGGGCACGTCGTGGTCCTGGCCTCACTTTCCTCCTCTGTACAATGGGCTTGTTGGATAGTTCCAGCTCAGAAGCGCTAGGATGACATGATGTGCAAATCAAGACTGGAGGTAGAGTCAGAATATGGTGCTAAAAACATCCTGAGCTCCTGTGCATATTTTTCAGGGGGGGCGGCGTCGGGAGCTGCTGGGAACAAGGTCGTCCTCCATAGCTGTCTATGCTACCCCTGGGGTTCTCGGTCCCTTTTCTTCTGCCAGCTCTGTGTGTTCTCTGCAACCAGTTCCTCTTGGACACTACTTAGGGAGGTAGGCTCGTCATGTAACCCGCCTTACTACTGGTGGGCTGCAGAGCAGGACAGTTGAGGGCAGGCCTGGGTCCTAGCCCAGCTCAACCTCTCGTTGGCTGTGTGACTTCAGGAAAACTGTTTCCCCTGTCTGGAACTCAGCTGGCACCGCTATGAAATGGGCACACCACCTCCTTCCTTACCTACTGCACAGGGTTGTTAGGAATATCAGGTACTAAATGGATGAGGAAACACTTCATAGACTGAAAAGCACTATGTAGAGGTGAGGGATCATTACTGTGTTTATGGAATGGATGAAGGTGAAAATGAGCTGGAGGCAGGATGACCGGGCAGGGCCTGCCCTCCCTCTGCCCTCCACTGAGCCATAACTGCCTCTCCTCTCCACAGGCCTCCATCCTGGACTTGGTGGACATCTTCACACCTTCCCCGGCCCCGCCCTCCACGCACGGCTCCGCTGACCCATGGGACATCCCAGGTGGGCACACAGGGCCGCAGGAGCTTCCCAGGCTGGCCCTACAGAGCCCCTCCCTTCCTGGCCACTTGCTGGCACCCTCTTACCCACAGTTGAGGGCCACTGGGCAAGTCACCCATGTCTCTGAGCCTCAGCTTCCTCTGTGACATGATGTCATAGTGAGGAAGGGGGAGCACATCTGAAGAACCCAGCTCATGAGAAATGATCTTAGGAAAGTGCTCTTGTTGCTGGTCACCCTGGCTTTCCTGTGCCTGCCAGTCCCTGAACTGCTGATGTCCGGGAGCCCAGGCTCCCGGGATAACTTGCTAGATATGGGCTCCTTCTTGCTGGGTGGTTCCGAGTTAGCACCCACAATCTGTGAAATGGGTTCCTTAGCTTTGCAACTTGGTCTGGGTAACTGGGAAGACCCTGGGCTGGGGGTAAGGGTGTGAGCCTGGGGTCATGTCTGTGCTGTCCCATTTCAGGTCTCAGGCCCAACACAGAGCCCAGTGGCTCCTCCTGGCCTTCTGCAGACCCCTGGTCTCCGGTCCCCTCAGGAAGCCTCCTGTCCCGAAGCCAGCCATGGGACTTGCCCCCTACGCTCTCCTCCTCTGAGCCCTGGGGCCGGACCCCAGTGCTGCCTGCTGGAACCCCCATTACAGATCCTTGGGCACAGAACTCTTCCCACCACCAACTCCCCACCACCGGGGCTGACCCTTGGGGGTCCTTAGTGGAAACCTCCAGCACACCTGGTAAGTGAAGAGCCAGAGGGTGGGGGGCGGGGGGCCGAAGGACTTCTGGGTGCCCCCCCACCGGGGATGAGGCTGTTAGGAGGCCTGCTTGCTTGGAAAGAGGTCAGTCCAGGGCCTGTGCCCTTTTTGCCAACCCATCTCCTCTCTTTTCTTCCTTGGCTAGCTCTAGGTGGCACCTCGACCTTTGACCCATTTGCCAAACTTCCAGTATCCACAGAGACCAAGGAGGGGCTGGAGGGTGCCCAGGCCCTGCCCTCTGGGAAGCCCAGCAGTCCTGTGGGTAAGCAGGAGGCAGAGGATGATGCAGCTCTGGGGAATGAGGGGCCCACCCAGCGCCGCCTCTGCCTTTTTCCTTCTACAGTGTGACCAATCCCTCTCCATATCCATTTGTATTCCAGAGCTGGACCTGTTTGGAGACCCTATCCCCAGTTCCAAGCAAAATGGTACTAAGGAGCCAGATGCCTTTGACCTGGGTGTAGTAGGAGAAGCCCTAACCCAGCCCAGCAAAGAAGCCCGAGCTCGCACTCCTGAATCCTTCCTGGGCCCCTCAGCCTCTTCCTTGGTCAACCTTGACTCCTTAGTCAAGGCACCCCAGGCTGCAAAGACCCGGAACCCCTTCCTGACAGGTAGAACATCCCCTGTTCCCTGTCTCACCCCCGCACCTCATCCTTCCTTTCAGAGCCCAGCCTTTGCCCTAGACCCTTCTTCTTCCCTATTTCTAAAACCCCAGATATTGTCCCCTTCCAATTTAGGGGTATGTCCCTGGCCCACTCCAAACCACCCACCCACTCTCGTTCTGCAGATTTCAGCGTTCCATCCCCCACCAACCCGTTCGGCGGGGGCGAACTGGGCAGGCCGACCCTGAACCAGATGCGAACCGGGTCGCCCGCGCTGGGCCTGGCTGCCGGCCGGCCGATAGGGACGCCGTTGAGCTCCATGACCTACAGCACTTCCCTGCCCCTCCCACTCAGCAGCGTGCCCGGCATGAGCCTCCCCGCCTCAGTGAGCGTCTTCCCACGGGCCGGCGCCTTCACGCCGCCCCCCTCGAGTCTGCCCCCTCCGCTGCTGCCCACATCGGACTCCTCTGGGCCTCTCCATCCCGCCCCTCAAGCCAGCACCAACCCCTTCCTCTGAGCACCTTCCTGCCCTCGCCGCCTGGCGCTTGGCGAGGCCCCGCCCCGCAACGGAGAGGAGAGGCGGGCTTCCACCCAGGACCCACCCCCGGAAGCCGGCTCGGCTGAGACTCCGCCCCGAGGCCACTGCGGACCCCGGTCCAGGCCTTCGCAGACCCTTTGCAGCCCCTGGAGCTATCGAGTGACCGCTGCCCGGGGCCGAGACCGCGACCCCGTAATAAAGACTGGAACCCACGATCTCAGCTCTCACCAAGTGGACTTTTTGCGGGGCGTGGCGGCCAGGTCTGGACCACAGCGCAAATCACTGGCTGCCGTGGAAAAAACTGCTCCACGATGTGGGGGCACAAAAAACCCTCCCACTTCCTGCACAGCCCCCTCAGCCTGACACCTTCGCTTCCAGACGCTCCCTAGGCTCTCCTTCATTTGATCATTTTCATTCATTTATCACACGTAGGCGCTGGAATGATCTAATAGCAAGGAACCCATTTATTGAACACTTACGTGCTAAGCACTTTAGACAGATTACTTCATTTAATCCTTGCAACAACCCTTTGAGGCAGATAACGTTGCTCACATTCAAGACTGACTACACAATTGGTGGGGCCCAGCGCAAAATGAAAAAGTGGGGCCCCTTGTTAAAAATCGGGTGAAGAATTTAAAAATGAGGGCAGCAGAGCATTAAACCAAGTGCAAAACCCATTTTCTAGGCAGGGAAACTGAAGCTCAGGGAGGTTAAAGTCACAAAGCTAGTATGGGGGTGGGGCGGGGATTCAGCCTCCGTTCAGCTCCACTGGCTTCGAGGTCACAGCCTCGCAGCAGGTTTAATTCACAAATACTGACTGCTGTGTACAAAATGCTGGGCTTGCCTGGGGTTGGTGGGGAGGGCGGGGGGCATGGAGGCAGAGAATTAATTGCTAAGCCCACCATCTCCAGGAGCTCAGAACTCAGCCGGGCAGGTGAGGCAGGCACAAGAGCCCCCATGCTCCTTTGTTCTACTGCGTCGCCTTCAGTCTGGCTCTGCCCTCCTCTCCTTCTCAGGGCTGGCAATAAGCTCAATCTCAGCTGTGCAGAGGGAGCCTGAAGGCCTATGTGGGATCTGAGAAACCAAGGCAGAGGCGGAGGGCCTGAGGCTTCATCCAGAGGCGACCATGGTCACCTTCCCTCCTTTTCTACTCGACGCTCTCCGGTCACTGAACCACCAGACACTAATGTGTCCTCAGTGCTCAGGGTCTGGCCCTGCTGCCAGCTCCACCCACTTTAAAATGCTGGGAGAAAATGGCCTTCCATAGATCAGAAACACCAAAGTCGGGGGAAACACATAATGCTGTTCTTCCTAAGGCTGGGGTGGGGAACGGGGATGTTTTGTTGTTTTGGAGGGAGTCCCACCTTGGCTGTTGAAGGCAGGATGGACAAGAGCACCTACTTAGGAGTCGGACCGAGAGTTCAGAACTCTGCTCCAAGATTTGCACATAATAATGATCACTTAGTTATAAGTGGTTATGCTCCCGGGCCTTGAGTAAATTACTTAACCTCTCTATGACCCTGCCTCCGTTTCCTTGTCAAATGGGAACAAGAGTTCCTTCTGTATGAGGTTGCTATGTGGCTCCTCCCAGGTCACTGTCCGTTTGGCCCAGGGTCACTCTCGTCAGACACTAACCAGGGGGAATGCACCTGCCATACACCCCCCTACTCCTGGTTTGCCAGGCAGTGCCCTGAGTTCAGCTCCCATGTGTCTTCTGCCGCACACTCGCAGGAGGCCTCCATCTTTGGTCGCTGACCACACTTTGTCCCTCTCCTACTTGGGCTCTCCTCTTCTAAACTGGCTGTCACGTGGACACCGTGTCCCTGACCCTCTCACTGCAAGGGGTGCTGTTGTTTGATCCCCACTAAGAGGAGGTTGGTACCCGTGCTCCCCATAGCTGCTTCCGGACCATCTTCCCTCCTGTAAGACCCCTCCCTCCTGGAAGGCTGGAGCCACTGGGCTGTCCCTGCCTCCTCCCCACCTGGGGTGGTGTTCCACCTCATTCTTGCCATGCTTCAGTCATGGCTCACAGCCTTCTACTTACCCAGATCTTGCTCAATCCCACCTGTCTCTATTGTCCAAGAAGATGACCTCGCCACCCCATGACATCTCAGCAGCCCTGACCGGTGGTCACACTTTGGGGGAGGTGTCGTCATTCCAGATTCCTCCACATTCAAGGCGGGCTTCCTGTTCTCTGCTCTTACCCTCATTCCTCCCAGGGAGCACCCACAAGACCTTCTTGCGCCACGCTTTTGTTATTCTAGCTTCTCAGCGATTTCTTTCCTCCATATCGTTGGTCACCTTCTCCAAGCCAAATCCTTCCCCTTGGTATTTGTCATCCATCTTGAAAGTGTCTTTCGCCTCACATCGAGTGTCCATTCTATCTGTGCCCCTTTCTTCCCCTCCCCCCTCAACCCACTCCATCGGTCTCTGCTGTCAGCCTCGCCTCACTGGAACACTATCTGCCAAGCCCACACCTGACCCCCATGTTGTTAAAGCCAGTGGACCTTTTTCTGTACCATCCCAGTTGGTTTCTCTGGAGCCTGACCACACGGACCCTCCCCCCTTGCAAGTCTCTGTCCCATTGCCTCTGGGGCATCACCCTCTCCTGGTTTCCCCCCAACACTCTGGCCATTCCTCTCTTGTCTCTCCTGGATGCACTCCCGCGTTCCCCGAGCCCGAGCCCGGGCCTGAGCCTGCTTCTCTCCTCTCGCCGCAGTCGTCCTGGGCGACCTCTCCCGTGCCTGCACTGTCCCCGCAGTGAACACCTGACTCCTCTCGCCCACCAGCCTCTCCTCTACTTTCCGGAGACTTGTCGTGTCTACATGGGCATCTCAAGGGCACTTCAAACTAACATGTCCAAAACTGACCTCATGAACCCCTGCCTAAGCCTTTCCCTGTACCCCCTTATCAGCAAATGCACCCACTACCCAGCACAAGCCCCACTCTGCAAATCACTCCTGACCCCTCCTTCCCCCTCACCGGCAACGCTGTCAATCTTTCCTTCTTGACAGACATCCCCTTCTAGCTCCGCCTCCACCTGGCACAGACCCCCACCCACTCCTCTGGCCCTGTTATGGCCTCCTAATCACTCCTGCTGCCGCTCTTGCCCCTTTCCAGTACATTCTCCACTGGGAAGCCAGAGGGAGCTTTCCAAAATGCAGGGTTACTCCCCTGAGCAAAGCCCTTCAACAGCTTTCTTCTGCTCTCGTCAATAACCAAAACTCCTCACGATTCAGATCTTGGAGCCCCTCCAAGACTTGGCCCCTGCCCTCCTCCCCAACCTTAATCTCCTCTACTGCCCCTCTTCCCTTTGCTCTGTGCTGCTGCCAGGCTGGCTGCCTGCAGTGCCTTAGCCCTGACTCTGCTAGGCCACAGGGCCTTTGCACATCTCTTCCAGCTGCTTCCCCAGTACTCCCCATCCCCCTGGGCTTCGATGGCTGCTACACAAATATGATTTCCTCAGGGAAGTCTCCCGGCCTTGCCTCTCTCACCAGATCAGTTTCCTTGTTATTCTTCTTCGTTGTACTCCTCACAGGAGGGGGTTATACATTCCTTTGTATGGCTCTCAGATTAGCTTCTACCTCCCTCATCAGACTGTGAGCAGCACAAAGGCGAGGGTCTGGTCCCTCTATGACCACCATTGTACCTATCAGAGTGACTGGCAGGCAGTAGGCAGTTGGTATTGCCATAATGTAACAAAGGAGACAAGTGTGTAAAGTAGATGACAGGACATAAAGTTGGTTCACCATTAATAGTCAGGGAAGGCTGGGAGGCAGAGACAAAAACAAAAAAAAGAAAAAAGAAAAAAATAGTCAGGGAAGGCTTCCTGGAGTGGGTGGGATTTTAGGTGGACCTTGCTATGGAGAGGTGCGCATGCACAAAGCTCACGGGCTGGATGAGCCTGAACAAACCATACGTACCTTCCGCTCTGGCCTCATTTCTCATTTGTAAGATGAGCAAGGATCGTACAAAATAAGCCAAGGCTCTGGCATTCCACGGCCGTGGCATCCTCACAGTCCTCCATGTCTCCCAACAGGGATGATTCTCCCTATGGGGATGAGCATCCCTCTGGCAGCTGCTGTAAGCCCCGGTAAGCCCGCCCACTTTTGTGCACAAACCCAGGTCCTCTCTGGCCCCTGATGTCCTGTCTGTAATCCCGCGTTCCGCCACAGGGAGGCACTCGGAGACCAGCCACCGGCCCAAAGGGTCGCCGAAGACCCGCCCGCGGTTGGGTCCGAGCCTGGGTCCGAGCCTGGGCCCGCGCCACGCGGCTCTCCTCCCACCTACCCTCCCTCACTGTCCGCAGCGCCCCGGCCCACGACCTGAAGCAGCCATGCTGGCCCACGGGGACCTGGCTGTGTTGCGGCGTCCTGCTGCCCCGCGCCAGGCCCGGCCTCTCCTCAAGCCGCAGGTATATGCGGGCAAGTGGACCACTACCGCACGCCCTGCGCCTGCTGGGCCGCAGCGCCGGCACCGGGCTGTGGTCAGTGCCGGCTCGGACAGCCCCTGACGCCTTAACCCCTCGCCGCCCCCGCACCACCTCCAGTCGGCTCCAGTGACCCGGCCCTGACAGTAACGCCCTCCTGCCCTCTTACCCTCCCCTCCCTTCGGCCAGCAGGGCTGTTTTTCCTGGGATTCTTCTGACACCAGCTCCAGGAAGCCTTCCGTAAACCTCAATGCTGGGCCAGAGGTCGCTGTCTAACAGCACCCTGGGCTGGCCTGTCACAGGCCTTATTGCTGCAGGGGCCTGGCCCTATTTAGGCTGCCCTGCAACACCACCATCCCAGACTGAGCCCCTTGAGATCTGGGCCAGTTTCCGATTTCCCCCAGGGTCCTGCGGGCTGGTCCAGGACCTGGCCCCACAGAAGAGTCCAGTGAGTCGATGCTGAGTGAGGGAGTCCTCTCTGTTGATTTTCTCTCGTTGCCCCTAACATGTCTAGTCCCAGACTCAATTTTTCTTGCCCTGTCCAGCCACCAGCAGTGGGCAGACTTTCGGCTCAGGTCACACACCAAGCCATGCCAGAGAGACCCCTCCAACGCCACCACTCTGGGCAGGGGGCCCAGTTAGGGGGAGGGAACGGAGCCTGGACCACCATTCTGCCCATTGTGACTCACCCTGACCTCACAGTCATCAGCCTTCCCACCGCCAGGTCCGAGAGGTTGGGGGAGACGAACCTGGCAGGGAGTCCCCAATGAGCCACCTTACTTCACCCCCCCAAAAACACAAGGGGGAGCACAAAGGCCACAGTCTCCCCCGTGGTTCAGAAAGGTGGGTTGGGCTGAGAGCAGGGGGTTCTGGGAGGGATGCCAGAGGGCAGGATGGGGTGGAGTGGGCCCCCAGGGTGAAGGGGGGAGACCCCTGGCCTGACCCGCCTGCTCACGCCAGGGGTAGCTCCTCCCGGGACAAGGACCGAAGTGTGACGGTCAGTGGTTCAGTGCCCATGCCTGCTGGAGGGAAGGGAAGCCGCACCAGCTGCTCCCAGTCCACACCCCAGAAGGTCTCCAACCGCCTGATCAATGAGAAGTCGCCTTACCTCCTCCAACATGCCTACAACCCTGTCGACTGGTGAGTGCCTTTCCCAATGCCCTTCCTCAGCCCCTCCTACACCCCGGGCTGGTGAGTGATGCCTCACCCTGCTGGGCCTAGGTACCCCTGGGGACAGGAAGCCTTTGACAAGGCCAGGAAAGAAAACAAGCCAATTTTCCTTTCAGGTACTGCACCTGCCTTCCCTGGGAAAGGGGGCGGGGTTGCGGAGTGGTGGTGGAAAGGGGAAGGGTCTTCTGGGTCTGGGGGCCTCCCAGGAAACCAGAGGTGAGGGCCTCTTCGGTCCAGCTGGGCCCCCTCGGTTGGCACCCCTCTCACCCATCACTGGTCCCCACGGTGGCCCCACGGCCCCATTCCAGTGGGGTACTCCACCTGCCACTGGTGCCACATGATGGAGGAGGAGTCCTTCCAGAATGAGGAGATTGGCCGCCTGCTCAATGAGGACTTTGTCAGTGTAAAGGTGGACCGGGAGGAGCGGCCCGATGTGGACAAGGTGTATATGACCTTCGTGCAGGTGAGTGGTCTTCCATGAGAGGGACTGCCCGTACACAGGGGCCGCTCCTCTCAGCTTCGCCATCTCTCCACCAGGCCACCAGCAGTGGTGGGGGCTGGCCCATGAGCGTGTGGTTGACTCCCAACCTCCAGCCCTTTGTGGGAGGCACCTATTTCCCCCCTGAGGACGGCCTGACCCGAGTTGGCTTCCGCACAGTGTTGCTGAGAATACGGGATCAGGTGGGCGTTCGTTGGGGGTGGGGGGACAGAGTCAAAGGCGAGGGAACAAGGGACCCCCGCCCTGTGCTGACCTCCAGATCTGCTTCTGCCTTGCACAGTGGAAACAGAACAAGAATGCCTTGCTGGAGAACAGCCAGCGCGTCACCACAGCCCTGCTGGCTCGGTCGGAGATCAGCACCGGTGACCGCCAGCTGCCACCCTCCGCTGCCACCATGAACAGCCGCTGCTTCCAACAGCTGGATGAGGGCTATGACGAGGAGTACGGCGGCTTCGCTGAGGCTCCCAAGTTCCCCACACCGGGTCAGTGACCCCATGCCCGCCCTGCCCCAGCCTGGCCTTCGGATGCCTGTCCGGCTCAAAGGCTTGGTCATTCGCCCCTGCTCTCCTTACCCTCATCTTGTCAGTAGCTCTCTGATCAAGACCTGACTTGTGATCTTAGCAGTGACCCCAACACTGACCTGGGTTGACCATTGACCCCCTGACCCCAAGCCTGTCAGAGAGACTGCGTGCCGTGTGAACGCCTAACCCCAGCCTAGCCAAAGGCCTGCTGACCACCCAGATCTGCACCCCCTGATGCCCCCATTCTCTCACCCACTCTTGGTGCCCGCAGTGATCCTGAGCTTCCTGTTCTCCTACTGGCTTAGCCATCGACTCACCCAGGATGGTTCTCGGGCCCAGCAGATGGCCTTGCACACCCTGAAAATGATGGCCAATGGGGGCATTCGAGACCACGTCGGGCAGGTGAATGGGGCTAGGCACTCCCTGGAGCGGGGCAGCAAGAGGCAGTGGGCTCAGGACAGAGGCCGGGATCGGCCTCCAGACCCACGTTCCACCTGGTACAGGGCTTTCACCGCTACTCCACGGACCGCCAGTGGCACGTCCCCCACTTTGAGAAGATGCTCTATGACCAAGGGCAGCTCGCAGTGGCCTATTCACAGGCCTTCCAGGTGACCCCCTGACCCCAGCCTGTCTACCTACCCCTGGCTGCCCCTCCCAGGGTTTTCCTGGTAACCTGTGGCTCCCCCTTGACCTCAGCCTTAATCCCCTTCCATAAGCCCAGTACCCGGGTTCCTGCCTCACCCTCCTGGGAGAATGCTGACCGGCCCCCCTGGACTTAGGTTACGCCAGGGACTTCCATTGACAGTCCCCTTCCTCTTTTTCAGATCTCTGGTGACGAGTTCTATTCTGATGTTGCCAAAGGCATCCTGCAGTATGTAACTCGGAACCTGACTCACCGGGTGTGTGTCCACTGGGGCAGGCAGGCCTGGCGGTGGGAGGGCTCGTGGCCTTCACTGCACGGAACGCTGGGGCCAGCCAACTCTCCTCTCCCCACAGTCTGGAGGCTTCTACAGCGCAGAGGATGCAGACTCGCCCCCGGAGCGAGGCGTGCGGCCCAAAGAGGGTGCCTTCTATGTGTGGACGGTCAAAGAGGTCCAGCAGCTGCTCCCAGAGCCCGTGCCTGGCGCCACCGAGCCACTGACCTCCGGCCAGCTCCTAATGAAGCACTATGGGCTCACAGAGGCCGGCAACATCAGCCCCAGTCAGGTGAGGACTCCTGGGGCCGTGGGAGGGTCCTGAAGCTGGACAGGCGGACTTGCCTGTTGAGTGGATGCTCTCAGACAAGGGCTGTTTTCCTCAGGACCCCAAGGGGGAGCTGCAGGGCCAGAATGTGCTGACTGTCCGGTATTCGCTGGAGTTGACCGCAGCCCGCTTTGGCCTGGAGGTGGAGGTTGTCCGGACCCTGCTCGACACAGGGCTGGAGAAGCTCTTCCAGGCCCGGAAACATCGGCCAAAGCCGCACCTGGACGGCAAGATGCTGGCCGCCTGGAATGGTGGGGTGGCCGTGTCGGAAGTCTAATCTGTTTATAGAATTACCCTTCACAAGGCCCCTTCTGTGTGTCAGGCACCTGCTGTATATTAATTTTTCCCTTATCAGTTTTATTATCTCTGAACTGAGACTCCGAGTTAAGTAACTCGCCCAAGGTCGCGACCAGGGGCTAGGAGCCCAGTCCTGCCTGGTGCTGGGACCCATCTCCTACTGGCTCACCAGATTACTCCAGAGAGGCGTCAGGGCTTGGGGGGGGACTCGGGGAGCGGGAGGGGGCATGCCTGGAGGGCGCTCGCCAGCGTCCCATGACCTCTGGTGTGTCCTCCCTCTAGGACTGATGGTATCTGGCTATGCGGTGACCGGGGCTGTCCTGGGTATGGAGAGGCTAATCAACTACGCCACCAATGGTGCCAAGTTCCTGAAGCGACACATGTTTGACGTGGCCAGCAGCCGCCTGATACGGACCTGCTATGCAGGCTCTGGGGGGACTGTGGAGCACAGGTGGGGGGCCGGGGAAAGCTTGTCTCCCTGGGCACCCCAGGCCAGTCTCCACCCCCTCCTCGCCTCTGGGTAGGCTCCAATCCCAGCTTTGCCATCCGCCCGCTGTGAGCTCTTGACCTTCCTGGGCCCACTCGCTCATCCGGGAAGTGGGCTAATGGTACCCACCGGAGAGGTAGATCTGTAGTGTTCAGTGAAATAATGCAAGAAAAGCACTTCCTCTGTGAAAGCTTCTCTCCCCTCTCCCCTGGTGCCTGTCCCCTCAGCAACCCGCCCTGCTGGGGCTTCCTGGAGGACTACGCCTTCGTAGTACGGGGCCTGCTGGACCTCTATGAGGCCTCGCTGGAGAGTGCGTGGCTCGAGTGGGCTCTGAGGCTGCAGGATACTCAGGACAGGCTCTTCTGGGACTCTCGTGGTGGCGGCTACTTCTGCAGTGAGACTGAGCTGGGGGCTGGACTGCCCCTGCGTTTGAAGGACGGTCAGTAGGGGGATGCAGAGCTGGTCTGGTTTCCCGGACCCAAATGGGGCTTGGTTTTCCCAGTGGGAGGCGGGAGCTTGGTATGGTGGTGAAGAGCCAGAGTGGATAAGGGCCGGGGCCTCCTGGATTCACATCTTCACCGCTTACTAATCAAGTGACTTTGGGCTGGTCTCATATTTCAGAACCTCAGTTTCTTAATATGCGACGTTGAGCTAACGTTGGTACTGCCTTTACAGGGTTGACATAAAAATTAATTTAACTATTCTGTGAACATGCTTAGCCCAGTAACTCACATGCCTGGATTCACATACTGAACAAGGCCGACTTGGTCCCTCCCCTCATGAACCTTACAATGTAGCAAGGGAGGCAGCTAGTAAATAATAATACTTCATGCAAAAATGCATGCACAAATGTGCAGTTACAATTGTGAGTGCCATAAAGTGTTATACGAGGCCTCCATTCTCGGTAGCACTTACCATCCATCACTTGATGTGTCTGGTCTGGAGCCACAGCTCCCCAAATGTGAACTCTTGAGAGCAGGACTTTGTCACCGCTGTATCCCCAGGGTCTAGCACAGGCCTGGCACATTACAGGTGCTCAATAAACATTGGTTGAATGAATGAAAGGCACTGAGAGAGAGCAACAGTGGGGCCTAACTCAGCTGGAGGGAGGTCAGATTACACCAGTGACGTGTCATTTATTTAATCAAGGGTCAGAGGACAAGATGGGGCCCTGTGGTCACAGAAGAATTGGGGAGGGACTTTAGACCAAGGGAACAGCCTGTGCGAGGCCTGGAAAGGGCAGCCTGACCCTTGGAGCATGAGAGCAGAGGCCAGCTTGTGAGGGGAGGGCGTGCAGGGTGCCCAGGTGAGGGGGGTCTCCCTGCAGGGTCTTGTAGGCATGGCAAGGAGTGAAGGCTCTGAAGGTTTAAAAAAAGAACTTTTTAAAAGATTTTATTTATTTTCAGAGAGAGGGGAAGGGAGGGAGAAAGAGGAGAGAAACATCAGTGTGTGGTTGCCTCTCACACACGTGCCCTAACTGGGAATTGAACACAGGGACCCTTTGGTTTGAAGGCCAGCTCTCAATCCATTGAGCCACACCTGCCAGGATGGCTCTGACAGGTTTTAAGTGGATTGTGACTTGCTCTGGTTAGATCTAAGAATGTCACTCTGACTGATGGTGGAGAAGAGATGGGGTAGGGGAAACAGACCAGTTAAGAGCTGTTTGTTAGTGACATTCAGTCCAGGTAAATGCTGGCAAAGGCCCGGATAAGAGAAAAGTGTGAGGTGGGAGAAGTAGAGGGTTTGGGTCTATTCTGGCTGCAGACCCAGCGATCCCATGGAGGATTAGAAGTGGGAGGTGAGATAAGGGAGGGAGAGGCAAGGAGGATGCCACTCCGGCTGGCGCAGCTGGGTGGTTGGGTGGGGGTGTAAGCAGTGCGATGGGGAAGCCAGGGGACCACCGTTCATCCAGGGGCAAGGAGCTGAGTATGCAGGTGGGCGGGCAGAGGATCAATAACCAGCTGCTGGGGCGGGCACCCCGCTCTGGCCTGGGCCAGGGTGGGTGGGCAGGGACTCTTCTCCGTCCCATCCCCCCAGCCGCCCTGGCCACGGTCCTGGGGCTGGGTCCTGCAACCCAGGGACCCTCCCTCATGGCTCTGCCCCCTGCCCTCTGCAGACCAGGATGGCGCGGAGCCCAGCGCCAACTCCGTGTCCGCCCACAACCTGCTTCGGTTGCACGGTTTCACGGGCCACAAGGACTGGATAGACAAGTGTGTGTGCCTGCTGACCGCCTTCTCTGAGCGCATGCGCCGTGTGCCCGTTGCATTGCCTGAGATGGTCCGAGCCCTCTCAGCCCACCAGCAGACCCTCAAGCAGGTGGGGACAGAGGGCACTTGGGCGGGGACCCTGGATGGGAGGGAAGCTAGGGCCGCAGTGGGGGTTGGGGACATGGGGCAGGACTCCTGGGGCTGTCCCCCAGAGCACAGGTCCATGGGTGTGTGGCCATCTAGGAGTATGGGTGTCTGGGAGGCCTCTGGCACCGGCAGGCCTTTGTCTCTGTGAGGGCCTGCGTCTGGGACTCTCAGAGCAGGGGCAGGAGGTGGGGGCCTCCATGGCTGGTGCGTCCCTGTGGTCGGTGAAGTGTCTCTCTTCATAGCTCTGTGTACTGTGAAGTTGGGCCTGCTGCTGTGTGTGCAGATAGATGCTTACCTGCACGTATGCTCCTATGTGTGTTATTGCTGTGTGTGCGCATCTGGAGGTGTGTGACTGTGTGTGTGCCTTTCTGAACGTGTGCTGGTGTGAGTTTTTCCAGTATATGTTTGCCTGTCTGCATGTGTATGCCCTGCGTTAAGGTTCGCCTGCTTATATTTGCATGTTTGCCTGTGTATCTCTCCCTGTGTGTGTCTGCTGTTTGTACTCATGTGTGTAGTGTCTGCTTCCATCTGGGCATATGTGGTGACTCTGTGCCTCCCTGTGTGTGGGTCTCTGCGTGTCAAGTCTCTGTGTGTGTGTGCAGGTGTCTCTGCCCATGTTGTGTCTCCTATGACTGTATCTCTACCACTACGTATGACACCGCCGCCATGTGTATTTCATACGTGCGCGTGTGTGTGTGCGCGCGCATCTGCCTGTGAGTTTGTCTTCCCACTTGCCGAGCAGTGAGTCTGAGGCAGCCGCCTCAGATTCTAGGGGATGTTGAGCTGAGTCCTATTCCTTCTTAGGGAGGTCGTGCAGGGGTGGAGGGACGTCGGGGAAGCCCTGGTAGATCTAGGTCCAGCCCCCCACCCTGTACCTGACACTCAAGGGTGCCCCAGTGAGAGGGGGCTGGGGCCCCTATGGTTGGCGGGTTCCAGAGTTACCTTCCTCTTGTGGCCAGATCGTCATCTGTGGAGACCCCCAGGCCAAGGACACCAAGGCTCTGTTGCAGTGTGTCCACTCCATCTACATCCCTAACAAGGTTTGTGGCTGTGAACTTGGCACCACCCTCTCCTCATCAGCCCCCGACTATCTCCCTCTCTGATGGCCTGGGGAGAGGAAACCCTCCAGTGGGCCCTGCCAGTGTCCCAGCAGCCCCAGGTGACCCTTTTTCCTCTGCCACTACCCCAGGTGCTCATTCTGGCCAATGGGGACCCCTCAAGCTTCCTGTCCCGCCAGCTGCCCTTTCTGAATACCCTGCGAAAGCTAGAAGACCGGGCTACCGCCTACGTGTATGAGAATCAGGCCTGCTCCGTGCCCATCACCGAGCCCAGCGAACTGAGAAAACTGCTGCATCAGTGATTCCCTGGCCCCCTGGGCAGAGCTCCCCGATCCCACAGAGACTGGGCCCCGCAGGGCCCTGCAGAGCCTGCGGCCGCCCCTGGGCACCCTGTCACCAGGCGACCTGCCCATCCTCAGGTCCTCCACCCTGGGCACCCACTCACTTTGAAATAAACCTAACAGCGTCCTGTGGTAACCTCAGGACCTGGGCCTTGCTTGTGAGAGAGGGTCCTCGCCTTCTCGCCTGGGACCCAGCAGCCTAGGGCCCCTTCCTCTGGGGGCCCCTAGCTGACCCCTCTGCCTTCTTGAACTCTTCCTTCACTCTCAGAGGTCGCCAGGATGACCCTGCCCCTGGCCACTGTCATCATGGTGTGGATGTAACTGAGGTCAGGGGACCAGGAATGGCTGCTGGGGTGGGGGTGTGGACTTGCCCAGGAGGGAAAACCAGTCCTTGCCCTCAGGCGGGGTTAAACAAGGAGCCAGCCCTCCCCTTCCTATTGTCTCCTCCTGTTTACAGCTGGGGAAGGGGCAGGAGGATGCGTCATATGAACTTTTATTTTTCATGAAAGAAAAATGGAAATGGCAGCGTTTGCCTACGCTCCAGTACATTGTGGAAGCTGCTCTTATCAGGACGAAGGGCATTTCCTTTGGGGTATCCATCCAGCCCTCGGCCTAGGGAGGATGGAGCCGAAGCCTTCCTGCAGGGGGTCGTATTGTCCACCCCTCCCCCTGACCCCCGGCTTTCACACAAGCCAAGCCAGGGAAAGAGTTTTCTCTCATTTGGAACATCTGTTGAGTTGGAAGTCCTTCTCCAAATGTGAGTTCTTCCTGCTGTAGGGAAGGCTGGTGCCTTGCTGCGACCCCTTCCTGTCCCCTCAATGTTGGAAGATACAAGTCTCGTTCTTGACACACCAGCCTCTTCACAGGCCCCAGAACCCCCATCTAGCTTCCACCGTGGGAGGGGGCTCGGAGGCGGGCTTTGGGAAGGGCAGATGCAGGGTGACGGGCGGACAGGCAGGGAGGAGGGGACGGAGCCGTCTCTCCACTCCAGACCTTCAGGGGTCTGCTGAGCCTGGGCAGCAGCCAAGCAGTACAGATACCCAGGAGAAGCTGCTAGACACCCCCTGAGTGACGGCATTGTGGGGATGTGAGCAGTGAGAAGGAGTGGAGCATGAAGGAGCTGGGAGGCGGGACTGAGTCATGCCAAGGTCTCCTGAGGACCATGGCTGTCCCCTGGGCACAGTCACACACAGCCACACATGGTCACTGGGACCGGGGTTTAGCTGGGCCCTTGGTGCAAGCCACCGGTCCATCTGGAGGGGATTAGGGCTCCGGCCAACAAGGTCAGCTGTCCCCTTTCTGGCCGGAGCCTGCTCAGCCTTGCCAGGAAATCTGAGGGCTGGGCAAATGGAGCCTGGTCTGGGGGCAGCAAGGAGGGAGGGTGGAGCGTTAGGAAGTGCAGGTGGCCTTTTTTGGCAGTCCCAGCCTTGGCTTTGGAAAGGTCTAGGCAGTTTGCAAAGGCCTCTTGTTCTCTGATGTCCCATTGATTTTCATGAATGAGGTGGCAAGGCAGGTACCTTTGGCCTCATACAGATAAAAATACTCAAGCCCCAGAGAGACCGGCCTGAGACTGCTCAACCCATCTGGTTCTTTCTGTGGCCTTCAGGGCACAATAAAGATCACCCAGGCTTCCCCCCACCCCAGGAGGAGCGGGCACAGCTGTGAGGGAGGACGCATTTGGTGTCTTCTGTCCCTCCTTCCAGTGTTCCTTCTGCTCTGCGTCTCCTCTTTTCCTTCTGCTGGTTCCAGATAGGCACCTGACACTGGGATTCTGTAAATGGATTCAGAGGAAGGAGGTGGGGCCTGAAAGGGTTAGTTCTCCGGGGAGTGCTTGCATTTTCTAAAGAGGGCAAGCCTGAACATAAGTCTTGCTTGTATGTGGGATTTTAAGTCTGTTGTTTGTCTTTCTCATGCCTGTCGGTCCCTCTTGGCTATGCTTTTTGCTCTGCCCGGCAGGACTGTCCTGGAGGAGCTGTGGGCCAGGGTCATTGGAAATGGGGCCTCCTGGTTTGGGCAGTCACTTAAGTAATTTCATCTCTCTGAGCCTCGGTTTCTTTATGTAAAAAATGGGACAGCCACCACCCAACTCCCAAGGCTGTGAGGTGACTAAATGGAACAATGTATCATCGCTGAGCAGAGAGCATCACAGATGGGAAGATTATCTCGGTTCCTGAGGAAGCCAGCCAGGCTGTGAGGGAGGCGGAAAGGGGAGAGGGCTGGAGGGGCTGCTGGCAGTGCCTATATGGGGGCGCTCCCTCAAACCCAGAAGAGACCTTAGATAACACTTAGGCCTAACTTCTTTGTTGGGAAACTGAGGCCCAAAGAAAGGAATTCCTTGTCCCTCTCATTTCCTCTCCCTGACCGAGGTTATTCATTCAGTCATCTAACATAGCAGATTGATTAAGCACCTACTATGTGCTAAGCACTGGATTAGGCTCTGATGAATAAAATGGACATAGGCCCTGCCCTCAGGGAACATATAGTTGCAAGGAGGAGGTAATCATTTCATTACTACAAACATAACCATATAATCCCAGCCTGGGCAAAGTGCTACGAGGTTCCAGACTCTTGTCTGGCTCAGTGCTGTGTCCTCCGCACCTTGGCACTTGGGCACTGCGAAATTGCTGAAAGAAGGCCACTCTGAGGAGGTGATGTCAGAGGTGAGGCTTGGAGGGTGGGAGTTAAAGATGGTGTCAAGGGTTCCTTTGCCTTTTCTGTGGGTCCTGCCTCCTCTCTCCCCACCTCCACTCTGGCTAAACATCCCTGAAGCAGATTCAGAGTCCCCTGGTGCCATAAACAAAGACCAGGGCTCCTTAGGCTGCAGGTCACCCCAGGCCCCTCCTAGCTCAGCAAAATAAATGTGGGTCTCAATTTGTTCTTGATGGTGCCTGTGCCTGCTCCCATTTTGTGTAAGTTCTAGAACAGAGTTCAGCCCGGAGGTGGGGTTGCCTGGATGGTGAATGAAGGTGTTGGGCCTGCTGACGACCCAGGAAACGTGACCAAGCTTCTCTGGCCTCGTTTTCCCCTTGCAAAGAGGGGATGATCAGCGCTACTACCTTCCCTAGGTCTCTGGACACTGTCTGGGAAGGGCAGACCGACCTGGCAGACTGCGGACCTGCGGGAGGGAAGAAGGTGTCAGACACACGGAGCCAACCATAAATAGGCCCCTCTCCCAGAAGACCGCTGCGACTTCAAGACTGGCTCTGCACACGCAGAATGAGAGCAGAGACTCCCGCCAGGAGAGAGAAGCACTTAAGGGATCTGCTCATTAGCATGAAATGCAAATGAGCCCGGCCTCATTTGCACAATTCGGTGCCCGGATTCGGTGAAAGGACAACCAGGGAGGCGACAGCACAGCAGCCGCTCTGCCCTCCCCATCACACTCCCCGCAACCCGCCCGGGAGGGAGCTGAGACACCCACTCCAGGCGGCGGGAGGCGCGGGGCGGGGGGATGGGGGGTAGGGAGCTCCGCGAGTGGCGCAGCCTTGGGGGAGCGCAGAACGCCGGGGAGTAGGGGGAAGGGGAGGGCGGGGGAGGTCGTTTCGTCCATTGCTCTGCCTCTCCGCAGTGGTGTGCGCACCCCGAAGTCTTGGGAGGGCAACCTGCTTGGTTCCGCCCTATCTTTTGCAGAAGTGGGAAAGTGCTTCCCGATCTCTAATCCTCGATGCCCTCCCTCCCCACCTCACCCAGCGCCCAGCACTCCCGGGGCGCTCTGCTCCCGGGTACACACAGCTTTTTGAGGTGGCGGTGAGCGGGAGCTGTGGCTGAGCTCGGGACTCGAGAAGGTGAGGCAGGGCAGGTGCTAGGGTCTGCACGTGCGTGGACCCACTCCTTGGTAGGATGGAGGTGTGCGAGGACAGCGGCCCCGAGAAACTCCTGTCCTGTGGGCAGCCTCCCCCTAAACCACATTGGAACTTGAAGCACGGAGTCGGGGGTTGGTGAAACTTGACAGGTTAAGAGTCAGCAAAGCCCAGCTCTGGGCTTCCACCCCCTCCCACACACTTGAAGCTCCCCCAGCCCCAGTTCCATTCACAGGAGCTTATCTCTGCTCTGCAGTTGCTCTTGGGGATCCGGGCTCTGGATCCGGCGTAACCTACCCGGGGCCACGTGTTCCAGCGCGAAGTCCCAGCGTGGGATTCACACCCTCCATAGGATCCCTGGGGGCAAAGAGAATGAAACTCAGCAGTGTCAGCGTTGAGGTCAGGGCCAGCGGTTTAAAGTTAAGAGACCAGAGTCAAAGTAGCTGGAGTGGACTGGAAGCGGGATCAACAAGCCCAAGAGGTTGCTGGAGGCCACGCCCAGACCTTGCCCACTCCTGTATTTTCCTTGGCCCCGCCTGTTTCCCCAAGACTAGCTCCCCCCGGCCTGAAGCCCTGCGTCCTGGACATCCCTCTCCGCTCTTCTCCTTCCTCAGTCCAGCTCCCAGGCTCTAGTCCAGGGTGGGGGCAGGTGGATACCTAGATTTCGCTCTGGGACCCTGGTCACACCCCACATCCCGGGCCGTCTGCCTCCCTTTTTCTCCAGGCCCGCCCAGAGCTGAGCCCCGCCTTCCGGCTACGGTCCAATTCAACGGTCTTGGACAAAGGATGCCGGGGGGCTGTCCGCGCTATCCCAGGACCCCGCGCCGACTACTCTGATTTCCCGGGGCTTCCTCCAGGGGAGTCCCAGAGACCCCAGCGGCCAATAAGAAAGTGGGTTCGGTCTGGGTAGCCGTCTAATTGGCTCCGGCCTTCGGGAACGGACCCAGGGGCAAGGGGAGGGGAGGGGGGCGGTCCTGGGCTTTGGGGTGGGAACGGGATTCCAGCTGTGGTTCTCTCCCGGGGCGCCCCCTCCCGCACTGCCACGGCGGTCGGCCAATAGGCGCGCGGCTCGGGGTCGACGGCTCGCGGCGATTGGCTGCGAGGCTGGCTGGGGAGAGGCGGGGCCGAGGCTTGAAGTTGGAGTGAGGGATCCAGCTGTGG